AGTTGAGATGGGAGAGTAAAGGATTAATTGAAAAGTGTATTTGTAAGGTAGGTGGTGTTTGCTCTGATTTTTTTTATGCCCGTGGTACTTTCCCAGACAATAATGTGAGAAAACACTTCAGAGCACATGAAAGTGAGCAGGTAGCAGCTGGATAGCGTTGTATAATTTAAATCTATCATAGTGGGAAAGCAATGACAGCCTGCTGGGTAGGCTAGGACGTGTATTGGGGACCTTTTGGAGGCACTTATCAATTCCTACAAATTGTGTACTGTATATAAACAGTGTAAAATGTAGAAATAGAATCCTACTTTTACAAAGCCTGCAGACCAACAAGTAGCTAACCAAGAAGGTTTTATTTCATTTTAATGATTTATGCTTAGTTGAGTTGTATTTGTTTCTGTATGTGAATTATTGAAAAGTCTTGTTTCTAGCATAGAAGAGCTAGTAGTTTATAGCCAGGTAATGTTTTTATGCTGCTATGTCCAAATTTTTGCAAATAAAACCTTAATAGACTGGATGAGGTTGAGTATGAAGACAAACCTGTTTTGTTCTTAACCAGCTCTTGTGTTTTACGCATGATAAAAAAATATGCCAATGTGAATGTAGGAGTTCATGTTGTTCTCAATTACAGCCGTGAAAGAACAGGGAGTAGTAGGCTTGCAGGGGTCTTCAGAACTCGTGCAGACCATTCTGAAAGTACAGTTCTAAGTCAAAACTTTAATGCTATATGGGTAAAAATGAGTCTGTAACAATTCCTGGAATCTCTCTTCTAACTCCTCACTGATGCAGCTATCTGGATAAGCATTACTGTGTACATAAGTGGTTTCCTAGTCAGTTTATTTCAGCTAAGTCAGATTTCAAACCTATTTTGTATATCTACAAAGCTTATTTAAAATTTTCCATAGGAATGGAGCAAAAATAGACAGTGTACACAAGCAGAACTGTTCTTTGTGGAGATGCATAATCAGTTTTATACTACATAAGCAGTTTTTTTTGAGTTTGACTTGTTACTTCATATTTCTTTTACTCATCTGGGGGTTTTATTGGAGTTGCTGGATTTGTTAATGTATTGCAGAGTAAAGCAGCTTTCCAGGGTTTTTAACTGTGTTTTTTTAATTATATTTTTTTTAAAGGCAAACTAAAAGCAAAACAACAAAGCAAAACCCTGAACTGTTTGTAGTCAAACAGGGTGCTGCTCGTTTGCAGCATTAATTTCATGCTGGTTTTCCTCTGTTAAGCCTTTATGATTCTGAGAGGAAAAGTTTCATTGGCAGGAGTGGGGAAGCTCTTGATGACTTGATGTGATGCTGATTCTTTCCTGTTGGTGTCTGTCTTTGGATTTACTATGACACAGCTTTTGTATTCAGTGTTCACCATTAGGTATTAGGGCACTCAGTAAAAAGGAAAATATGATCAGCCCTCACTTCCTTTGGTTCTTGTGGCTTTCAGATCTTGTTTTCTCAGTGTTTCCCTAGTCGGAGTACTGGTGATTTCATTCCCTAATATGTTATAAGTAGACGAACGATGCTGCAACCTTTCCTTCAGTGGGGAGGAGGCGAAGCCCTGTTGGGGGGTACCTGTGTACTTTGGCTCCTCTGCATTCTTAATGTGGTTGAAATTGTATCACTAAACTGCCTGACTTAACAGTTTGGGTGTTATTCTGTGCAATCATGCTAAAGTACTTGAACAATGCAGACCAGGGCTGCGTTTCCATTTCCTACCCTGCATTTCACTGTTTTCTTTGTGGTTTGAACACAGTTACCACCTCCTGCTTGTCTAACTGGTCAGAATACCTGAGCTGCAGAGCAGCTTCCTTGCTTCTGTGGCATTCAAGGACTAACCCTGATGTGGTCGGCACTTTTCAATGCTGCTAAGTGTGTGGGCGTAAAGGCTGCGGGTTGCGGTTTTGTGGTGGGAGTGAAGGGGGGAGTTGGAACCTGCATCTTGTTAGGTGCAAGCTAGAGAACTAAAGGCTTGTGAATGCTTTCTTAGGGTTACTGTTAGGAATGGTGGACTCAAATGGGAGTTGAAAAAGTGAAGTTAATTGCTTCCAATAGTATAGTACTATTGCTCATCCACACCAGAGCTGTTATCTGTGATGGTGCTTCTGACAGGCTTCTTTCAGACTCCAAGTTTAAAATTGGAAACACCAGGATGTGTGTTCGGAGTGGGCAGGAAAGCAAGTTCAAGCTTTGATGGGATGCACAAAACTGTGAAATACTCATAGCCTGTTATTACTGGCACACAGAGTTGTAGAGAGGAAAGATAAGCATGTGTGATTTTGAAAGAACTGTAGCAAAATGATGTTCAGTCTGTGTTTAGACTTCACCAACTTATCTTAGCAAGAAAAATGACTTGAAAGAGAAAAGCAGTGTGGAAGCAAGCAATTACATTACTAGAACACAATGTGAATGCCACCTGTGGGAGCATCTCTGTATTAGCATCCTGTTGGTATGGGAGCTCTGGCACAAAGTGTGGTGGGTGCAGGCAGGAGCACTTCCAGCAGCGTTCTTCAGGAAGGAAGAACTGCCACTTGCTGCTGTCACTTTGGGTGTTTTAGCTGTGTAATTGTGAGAGCCCATGGGTTTTGTTTAGTGTAACCCAAACAATGCTAAGCTTAGATTTCTTGATAGGTGATAGTAATGATGTTTTATTCTGTGGCTTTTCATGTTTCTGTTACTTTCCATGCTCTTCAGTACACCTACTGCAATGTCTTTCAGAGGATTGCTTGAGAGTGTTTCTGTGCACTACACTGTGGTTACATAAAACTAGAAGGGAGAAAAGCTTGTGACTTTCACTGGGTTTTTGTAAACTAGAGCATAATTTAGTGAGCTAATCTAATGCCTCTGTCCCTTTCCAGCAAAGCATCGCTCAATTCTAAAGTGTAGATTTATTTTCAAAGGAGTTTTGAAGTTTTCAAATGGATTTTGAGATTCATTACGAATTGCTAATTTCTGGTTGACTTTTTCTGTAGGATCAGTGAAGCTCATGAATATTCTAAGCAGCAACAAATATATCAAATCTAGTACACTTCCTGCAATTCAGTGAATGCAATTTGTAAGCGTTCACAGATGCTGTTCATTAAACAGGGCTTTTGTAAGGCTTTACTGTTGTCAACAGCACATCAGATGTGATACTGTTAGCTGCCAAAACAATGTATTAAAAGTGTCCTTCCATCCTAAGTTAAGCAAAGCTTATTTGTAAACCTCTCATTAATTACTCTAGGATTAGAATTCCTACGGGAGGCTTATGATACAAATGATACAAAGCTTGATCAGCTTTTTTGCCTTCAGAAGAAGCAGACTTTAATGGAAGTCTGTCTCTAAATACAATTGTCTTTTCACTTGTGCATTCATAAGAAGCTAAACAAGCCTTTGCTTAATTCAGTACACCAATGAATGTGTGTATTAAAAAAAAAAAAAGCCCAAGATTTATTGTGGTGCAGACTATTCTGTAAGGCTCGTCTTAATGTTATGGTTGTCTTTTCTTAAAATAAGTCTCAAGAGCCACAAGCATGCCTTAACCTTTTGTACAGAAATATTAGTGACAACCTTATGTATGTTTCCACATTTTTTTTCATTTTAAATCTACCAGCTTCCTGGCTAATCATAAAACAGCTTTGATATGGTGACAAACTGCCATCAGTGTTAAGGCTTCCATCTTCCAGCTTCTACAAGTGCTAGGAGCAGTGGGGCTGAGCTGTTGGGTAATCCTGGCAGTACCCCATACTCTGTTCAGGGACTGAACAGTATTGTTGTTGCAGAAGCTGGGATGTGTGAGCTATTTTGTGTTTCAGAAATAGTACTCCAGGCTGTGTCTTCTTGCTCTTGCATTTTGGACAAGAATCTTCTCTTGTTAAGTCCAAATTCCGCCCCTGTAGTAATATGAATTTCAGGATCAGGCTGTAGCATACTATTTAGTGTCTTGTTGGCCTACAGAGTACTACGTCTGGCTTGTTTTCCTGGTGATCCTTTGAGCACTCAACCAGCTTTTTAGTAGCCCTGTGGAGCAGGATGTCCTCTAGAGCTTCTGTAGTGCTTTGCAGTGATAACACGGGGTGTGTGTTTGTGTTCGGACTGATCCTGTTTATTGTTTAGTCAGAAGTCAACTCTTGTCCTGCTGTGGGTTAACTTCTTAAATGAAGTTGAAGTTAACTTGAGCGTATTTAAGAGCCTCTTGGCTGAGTTTTTTTAATAATACGTTAACTTTATATGCTTCTGAACAAATGAATGAAATATTGAGTGCTTAGCAAACTGAGTTAAAACCACTGTTAGAGGCCTGAAACAGCAGGCAAGTATTTTAGAAAGCAGTGGGTAGAAGAAAACAAAAGAGGAAGAGACATGCAGTGTAAGTTAGATAAAGCATATCAGGAAGAATCTTGAAGTAGGACCTCAAACAGAGGAGGGAAAAATTAAGGTTGCTCATGAACTTCTGACTGATGGCTTTCTGTGAAGCAATGCAGCAATCTACCTGAGTGTAATTGCTTTAGGGACTGGCAAAGGATATCTGTGAAACTGAAGCTTTGTGCTCGTTCCACGTTTTTCTAGATCTTCAACTTTTGAAAACGTTTAACAAAGTTTGCGGAAAATGTTAGTAGAAATAGTAGTTCCCCATTTCTTTTTTAAAATCTGTATGTTGCACAGAGACTTCCAGCTGTTTTCTGTTCAACCTCCAAATAGCTTGGTAAACTCCAAACAAGAGTCAGAGCTGCTGAATGCTCCTAACTTACACTTGAGAGAGTGTCCAGTATTACTGTTGCCCAGAGTACCTTGGAATTCCAAGGTAAAACAATGTTAAGTACAAATATATTAGCATCAAAGCACCTGTAATGAAAGCTGCTTCGCTTCAAATTAATCACTTTAAAGAGAGAATTAAGGTAGCATGTTGTGTTTGGTGAGCAGCAAATCTCTGCAATGGTGAAATCAGTTTAAGCTGTAAGTGGGTACAAATTTAACTTATGATGTACTTACAATAAACAAAAAAACCCTCCTCTTTTTCAGAAACTTTTTCACTAAAAGGACAAAGGAACTCAAACCTGCTGTCCAAAGTGCTCCTGGCTGGAAGTTGTTTGGAAAAGTCCCTCCCAGAGAAAACCTTCCGAAAGATTCCAAAATAATTCAGCAGGTGAGTAAACATCACATAAGTCTAGACATAAAACTTATAGGAATTAACACAAGTACTGCAGTTATCTCCACATCACTACTCTCTGGCAAGAAGACTCTTACAAGGCAGTCTCTAAAGGATTGAGCTACTGAGAAAAGAGTTTCAATTTTATGACTGTGTATTATGTTCCTCCATACATCTCAGTACTAATAAAATGTTGATATGTGTTCAAAAACTGTTCAAGCTGTTTGGATCAAAACAGTAGCACTTCTATTAATTTTCTGTGAAATATTGCCTCATTTAACATGTTAAATATTTTCTATGGTAGAGTGATTGTGAAATATTCTAGTCTTCCTTTGGGGTTTAGTTCTGAGTTGCTTGTGCCTGGTTGGTGCACTAAAACCATAGGTATGCTTGTAAATTCATTTTTTTTCTTCAGGCTAGGTATTAATTTAGTAAAATGTATATTCTTAAAGTATTCTTGACTGTTGCAGTGTTACAAAATTGATTTTTTTATCTAATTCACCTTGCTGTATTCCTTGTTGCTGGCCTGTAAGACTTGCTACATTGGTAACTGGTGACAAATTACATGAAACTCTGAAACACGTAACCTTTTGCTTAAGTTTTTAAGCTTACTTGGGTATTTTTGTTTAAGAATAGCTGTAGCAGTGTTACTTGAACTTACTTGGGATTTACTCAGGTGCTACAGAAAAGTGATTCAATTTTCTGCCCCCCTAATACCAAGCTATACCACTGCATCACTTCTAAATTTCCATTCCTGTGGACTATGTCTTTGATTTGCTGAAATAATTATTATATATATAAAAAAGATCTCAATCTTCAACAGTCTTTAAAGATGAGTAATTGGTAATATTTCTAATATTAACATACAATACTAAAGTTGAAAGATTTGTTGGCCTAAGAAATATGAGTGTCCCTTGTGCTGGTGAAAACAGCAACTTGGATTTCTTGAGCTGCTTTTGCTTATCTCTTCTCTTAAATTCCATGTGAGCTGATGTGTTTGGCAGGTGCAAATGGCTGTGAATGAAGCAGTGTTCAGTCATCTTCTAGAAAGTTTCATGGTGAAGAAGGCCTTTTGGGAGCGACTAAAGTGAAAAATGAGAGGTTCTTTTTGAAGGATATAAATGTAATGGGAGTTGTCACACAATGAAATGTAGGAAAATAAGGAAATGATGAGATTGCAGCAAGTGCTGTTTACTCTGAATTAAACTGGATGCTTTTTCAACACTTTCAAATGCTACTTATTGAGGTGTTTTTCTATTTTGGGTGGGAAACAGAGGGCAGGTGCTCATAGTTCACTTGCAGATTAATGCTGTTGGTTTTGTGCTATGAAAATACTGTGCAAAAAATCCAGATGTCTCATCTGTCCTAATGGAGAATATGCACAATGCTTACCAGTCATCTGCTTCCCATTTTCTAGTAATGAAGATGTTTGTTCGACAGACAAGTCATAATCAGCAGAAATATTTATTTTCTTATCCTTTTATTTCTTAGTTACTGGTTTCCTTTTAAACTTAGTATTTCCATTTTTTTAACTTCTCTGAAGTGGCAGAAAATCTTAAAACAGTGTATTGTCTTTAAACATGATTGAGTTGGTCCTAGAGATTAGTCATGTGGTTTGAGTTATGGTTGCCAGATTAGGATCAGTGTTGGATTTGTATAATCTTGAGTGGTGTGTCAGTAATGTCTAATATTTTTAGCTTCTAATTTCAACAAACCATGCATGGTCTTTACATAAAGCATCAAGGTCTAAAATTCCCCCTTATGAAAGGGGGGTGCAAATTGGTGTATATTCTGCACAGAGTTAAGTCTACAATACCTGAGAACTTGGTTCTTAAATTGAGAAGTGTTTCAATGTCTTCATATTTCACTTGTATCAAATGTCTTACATGTGTGTTTAAAATCAACGATATAGCTTCTTATGCATGCATCTGAAGAAAAAGCATTTTTTTCTCAAAACCATTCAGATTTGCTGATCTGACAGTGGGCTAGAATGAATATAAGCATGTTTCATTATTGAAGATCAGTGGAAAATAGAATCTGCACTTTTGAATGGCTGACTGAGGTCCCTAGGTTAAATTCCTCACTATTAAGGAGATGTGACTGAAAGGAACACAGGTGAGCCCCCCCCTTCAGTGCCTCTGCAGGCTTCTATGTTAACTTCCTAAATTGAAATCAACGGTTTGAGTGTGAGCTGAACTAAAATAACACATTTAGTTTTCAAGTTCTTTTTAGCCATCTGTAGTCAGAACAATGGTTGCAGACTGTTTACCAGCCTGTGTAAAATACATTTGTAATGTAAGGCCATTCAAGTAGAATGGATTTAAGCTGTAGGTAAGCTGCCTGAGAGGGATTTTATGATTGCTTATTTATGGCAAAAATTCTTGCAGTTCCTGCACAGCTATGGCATTCTCTGTGGTTGAACACAAAGCTTATTGACTTTACTGATGCTAGTGGCCAGCTTTGAGGGGGGTGTGACTAAACCTTTGGTTGAGGAGAATGAGTAATGAGTCAGTATCCCTCAGATACAAAGTGAGGTCCTAAGAAGCCCTTTTGCAGGAAAATTAAATCATGACAGGAAAATCTTCATTTGTAAAAGGAGAGCCTTCTGCTTAAGGGCAATGCTTATATCACAGCTTTCTGGTAATATTGTAGTTCAAAGGATCTTCCTATTCATAAAACAAGAAACAAAAATGCATCCTTGTCTATGGTCCAAAAGGTGGTAGAGCCCACATACTATTCTAAGTCAAAGTTAACCTAAAATTCTTGTATTTTGTGTGCATTGTTTGTTGTTCTATGTGTGTGTTTCTTTGTTTTTTTAAGAATGTGTGTGCTGTCAGTGCTTTTACATGCATGCTGCTTAGGCTTGTAAAAACACCTGGGAAGGGGAGAAGTAGTCTTCCATGTCCCAGATGCCCATCCATGCCTCTCTGAGTGAAGAGATAGAGAAGACAGGTAAAATAAACACTTTGTTTTGGGTCAGTTTGATCTGAATATTTTAGTTTGGCTCACCCTACTTGAAATCTCTTTTGAATAAACTCAGCATTTGTTTCCGTTATTCTTCTTTATGGGTTAAGGTCTTTGGTCTACTTCCTCCAGCTCATCTAGCATCACTTCAGTGAGTGGTGTGACAGTGCTTTGTCACAGGGAAGTGGTCTGCTCTGGGAATCTACTATGAGCCCCTTGAGCTATAGCCTGTGGTACTGCAAAAATGCTATGTGATAGTAATTGTTTTGCATACAGGAAAGTTGAAAATTTCAATAAGAAACCGATTAAGACTACATTTCTGATTTAAAAAAAAAAAAACAAACTTGATATTGTGTTTATTTACATAAAGTTTAATGCATCAGAATTCTTCCAGCCTTTGAAAATGTTAAACTTAAAATATTTAAGTTTGAATATTTTGCTCAATGATGCTGCTTGATAAGTGATGAGCCTTTTTAATGTTAGTCATAAATTTCCATCTTTCCATGCTGGCTGGTAGGAGCCTCCTTTGTTATCTGTTTTGGTGAGGATGATAAAGGAAATTGATAGTAACATTTAAATGAGTATTTATGGCTCATGGTCACTGTCTATCAACTAGATATTGCTATGCCTGCCTCTGCAAAGAATTTGGGTAGTGATTCCAGTATCTTGAATAACTTCCCAGAAAATCTGGAAACTTAATTTGGGATACCATTTCAGGCATTTCTCAGACAATGATGCTAGCCAGTTCTGCCTTCGGAGACTGCCTAATGAATATGACTGTAAATTTCTCTGCAAGTTTCATAGCATATGTAGAAGATGATAAATACCCTGCCTGCAGCAAGCTGCAGGGCTTGCCTGTTTCAGGAGATGGCAGAGTCCCCCGCAGCTGTGCTGCCATCAGCATGCTTTGGGCGAGATGCTCTAGCTCAAACTGGGTCAGAGGTTGAAAGTTCTTGGCAGCTGCGTCTCCCAGCTTGCAGCTGCTGGCACGCCCGGCTCTCCTTGGATTTAGAGCTGCCCAGGCAGGATGTGATTGAGGCCAACTTTTTTTTTTTTTTGCTGGACATCTCCCTCCTCTGGGCTTCCTTCCTTCACTGTTTTTTGAAAAGGGAAAATAGCAGCTCCTTAGGATTGCAAATGTCAAATGCATGTGATGCTTTTAGGAAGTGTGCCTTTTTTCATGAACTGCAGCTAATAAAACTGGCCATTATGAGAAGTATGTGGTCATTAATGATCAGCTGGGTAAATTCTTTTCAGTCTGTACAGAAATCTGCTTTAAATTAGACTGCTGAAGTACTTTAATACAGCAGCGTTTACAGCAGAGAAAGATTTGTGGGGTGATGAGTACTGACTGAATTGCAAGTTCTGCTTAAAAAGCAAACTTAATTTTCTGTCCTTATGGTTAAAGAAAATATGTTTGTATTCATGGTCAAAATGATTCCGAATATAAAGTCGTGTAGTTAAGTTCCTGTTTTTATTAAAGCACTCTCAGATATTTTGATTAATTCACATAAACTTGTGTGATTTTGTTTCTGATATGTCCAAATTAAAGTCAAAACATGTTAATGTTTGTCTTTCAAGACGAACAGAGGTGAAATAAGTCACTTTATCAACAGTTTTAACAAAGTACTGCCAGTGACAGCCCAGCCTTGAATGAATGGGGGGGGAGAGAGAGAGGAGGATGTTTTATTCAAATCTGGCACAACAGAGAAGCGTGCAGTGACTTGGAACTACTTGCTTTTTCAGAAGTGAAGTAAAATCATCTTTTCCAAAAGCTTTTCTACCTGTATACAAGATGGAAGGTATTAATTTTAGACAGTTAAATAATAACTCTGATTTAGATGACTGGGTCACTCATAACTTAATGTTTGAAAATACTACTTTGGGGTTGCTCAGATATCTTAAAAAAAAAAAAAAAAAAGTACTTGAGAGCTAATAAACTGTCTTCACTTGCATATTTTTCCAATGTCGTTATCTCCTGTCTGAAATCTGATGGTGAAATTGCACTCCCTCAACCAGCAGAACTCCCTTGGTCTCCCAGGGACAAGAACTGTCTGAGGTTCCCCTCGGAGGAGCACAGGCATTTTGAAGCAGTCTTCATCCAGCCCAGGCTTTCTGACTTGCAGTACTGCAACTCATCACGTCAGCCTTTGTGGTTTCAATTTAAACTGCATTAAGCTCTTAATGCTTAAAAAGTGTATGTGACTGTATGTTTGTCAACAAATCTAAGGAGTGAGTATCTGAAAGAAGTAGGTAAATACAGTGCTAGAAGTCTTTCCATGAGAGTTTCTAAGCAGATTATTATCTAGATAAAGGTCTTGCTGGCTCATTTTGCACATACTGCTGGAAATAAAGAGGGAAGAACTCTCCCTGCTTAGCAGGTACCCGTAGAAATACATTAGCAACAAAGTGCCTCAAAAACAGGACAGACAATAAAAGTTGTGTAAGTCTTGCTAGAAACATGTAACACTTGAATAACAATTTGTCTGCTAGTAGTAGTGAGAAGGCTGTGATGTCCTCTGTAGGCACAGGAGTGGTCAGCTTCTCAAGAAACATCTAGCATCTTTCCAGAGTCGTATGTGTAGTCAGTGAAATGCTGTGCCACAGGTAAAACACTTGTGTTTAAAAGTTTCAAAGACCTTCCCTAGTATTTTAGGCTTGGGCAATGATTATCTTGTGAATAAAATGGTAAGGAAGCTGGTGGGACCTCAGTGAGACAAGTGCCTTTCTTTTTTTTTTTTTTTGTTTGTTTTGCATAAAGGACGTCCAGTTCCTGCTAAAAGACTTACCCAGCTTTTTAGATAAGAAAAGCTTGTCAGGGAGAACTTTTAGTTCTGCTTTTTGACAGGATGTCTCACCCTCTATTGGGCCCTCCAATTTCTTTAGCAAAGGGTGACACAGATTTGAGGGGAAAAAAAAAATTCTAAGAATTGAGATTTTGCAAGGTAAGCAGACATGCTGGTGAGCTGCAGGTGCACTGATAGTAAAGTCGTCATTCAGTCAGGCTATACCATATTCCAAAAGAATAGAAATTAACAAAAAGATCCTTTCAAGTGGTGAAGGTGTTGTCTTTCATGTATACTTTTGTTTGTTTCTTTTATACAAGCTTTATTCTTGTGAAGCTGGTATGGCTTTTCAGTACTGAAAAGGAGACAATGTGGCAAGGGAGAGGAAATCATTTGAAATTTGTGGGGGTTTTGTGTGTTTTCTTTTTGTCTGGGGTATGTAGGGTATAAGAACAGGACAGATGTTCAGAAATAACACTGAAATCATAGTAAAGAACTTATTTCTTTCTGGTACTGTAATATAATGCTTACAAGGAACAGCTGTCTCTTTTTTTAGGCACTCTTTTTAAGCTTTGATTTTTCTATTAGAAAATTGAGTTTAGCCTAGAATGAATACCTGTAGCTGGGCATGCTTTTGCCAGATCACCTGAATCAAATATCCTATGCTTTCAAAATTGTCATTTAGAGTCTTATATCTGCCCTGTGTAATCCAGGTGACTGTTTTAGAGCCTTGCCCCTGTATTCTGGTTCTCATCAGCTCATCTGTGAGGCTGTAGCTCACTTCTGAGCTTTCAGTTTAGAAATACTAGCCACGATATGGCAGGGGGAAGGTGGGGGTGTAAAGGCCCAATGTACACCATGGTGCAGTTTAGTGAAATCTGCTCTCTCATGCTAAACAGAAAAACCCAAATGATTGATGTAGAAATCCTATAAAGCTAATGAGTTTATAGTTGAGGATCCATTTGGGCATGAAATGCAATCTAAGAAGTTAAAGGAAAGCAAAGTCTTCATGATTCATTTTTTGGAGTGTCAGCCTAGATGTTGTTTTGTGCTTTTCTTTCTCACAATGCCCCTGCCAAGGGTAGCATTTAAACAACTGTAATGTTTATGGGTGGTGAGGTCTAGGGAGGAACAGTACATCAAACAATGTGTTTTGTCATTCACTTGAGAAAAGTACTATGGAAAAAGATTTCCCCTTGGGAAAGGGTACTGATTGTAGAAATTAGAGAACTTCACTTAAAAAAAAAAAAATACTCCAGTGGGAGTCTATACACGTCTTGGTCAAGTGTAAAGTCTTTGTATGCATTTTTTGTGTACTTTGAGCCCTGTGGAAAGAGGAGGAACAGCTGCATCTGATTCTTCACATATAGATGTTTATACTCAATTTGAATTTAAACTTTGGCTTGCATGTTGCTATATTATAATGGTCTTTTCCTTCATTTATTCACTAAGGATTTGCTTCTGTTTTTCTCATTAGGATGACAGTTCTGGCAGTCTTGCGTCAATATCTGCTCTCAGTCTATTAAACACAGGGGTATGGAATTTAATGTTTTTTTTCTAGTTGTATTCAATGCCATGCATGGGACAATGTAGTACTCATTAAAAATAGAACAAACATCACATTTTCACAGTAGCATGAATATTTTATGGCACTAACCATCAACTCATTAGATACCATTAGTAAAAAAGTTTCACACGTGAATCTCACTAACAACTTAGTGATACAGTATTATTGTTTATTAACATAGTGCATGTTCTTGAATAGCAGGAGGTAAAGTAAATTACTGTCAACTTCTAGCATTACTTACGTTTGCTGTGCCTACTTGTTTAATGGTAAAAGTTGTTAAAATGGCTTAATTTGTAATATTTTTGTAACACCTTATGTTAGCTTGGAAAATGATATCCTAGAATCGTATTTTTTCTATCTCGAAGTCACGCAAGCTATTAACAGTGGCAGTTCAGAATCCCAGATGCTTTTAATTATTCTTTCCAATATGAAACTGGAAATGTAGGAAAGCTGCACTGGAAGTGAAGCCATTGAAACTCCTGTGTTATATCCTGTTATGTCTTCCTTTTGCTGTGACTGGTATGCTTCTGAAATTGGTCCAGTGCATATGTCTGTTGCATTGAAAAATCCAAAGTAATCCTATACCCTATGTTAACTGGAATAGTAGAAGTTCACTTTTTTCATTGTGAGGATCTGTTACTGTGGCTTTGTGAAATAGAGCAGTAATGTGACTGAGTGGATATGTGATGCCTGTGGTTCATGTTACATGGTCCAGGCACTCTCATCACTTCCTCACTGAGCCCAAAAGCCCATGGCTTCATGGTTTTTTTTTTGTAAGCAGCAAGCGATGAAACTTGATGCAAACTGTGAAAAATTCAACTGAGGAAAAAAAAAGTTAAAGATTGGAGATGGATGACATTACTTTAGAAGGCTGACCCAGAAATGCATTTGTGTATATCTGGTTGTTCTCTCCTACTGTGTGAAGATGAACATTTTTCCCTGTTTCAGTATAGGCTTTTCCTATATAATCTGCAAGTTAGGAGCAAATGCACTGTCTGTCCTGATGGCATTTGGCTTTCTAAGTTCTAAAAAGAAAAAGTCTAGTTTATGATTCTCAGAATCTTTCAGTGATGTAAGCACCACAGAACCTTTCTTGCTGTAAGCACCGTTTTGGTTTTCAGCACCTTGTAGTCAGTTCTAGTGCACTAATTTTAGTACTTAAATTGGGGAGGGTGGGGGTATTGGGATGTAGGAAGGAGTCCTTATTCATTAAGCAGAAGTACTCCTTTTGTAAATTTGCTATCAGTTTTACTAAGATGATGCAGAGTCCCCTCCTAAAAAACTATATAAAAGAAAAGATGAAATTTGAGATCTTTATCTTAAGCACAAAGGCAGCTTTATAACCAAAAATCTCTTCCTGCCCCATTTACCCGTTACCTGTCTGTAGGTTAATAGGCTTATCTGCTATCTATATTTCTGTGGGAATAAATACTGGAAATACCAGTCTGTTCATATATCAAAGTGGTCTTTCTTCTGTTGTCATGGCTTTTTTCTTGAGGAAAAAACATACTTTTAGCCTGTTTGCAGGTTTATGATTCTTAGTAGATGAGAGGATGCAGTTCCAGCATTAATAAGGAGCTAACAGTGCTTACTTCCTGTTAAAGCAGAGATTTTTGTTTGATCTATTTTGAGATAGTGAAATGTTCAGTAACTTCTAATAAATGTCAGATATACTGCAATAAAGAATTTTTAGGAATAAAATTTCCTAAAATGTTGTTATACTTCCAGACTGATGCTTCCAAAGTGACTTATGTAAAAAGGTCTTGCAAATCTTGAATATTAGCTGTCAACAGTTCTACCCTCTGGGATGTGTCCTGCATCTTAAGCCCCTGTCTTGTCAAATGCTATAAATTGAATTTTTACCTTTTTATGGAAGAGTATTTGCTCACATGTTATGAAGTGAAAATCTGAATCAGCTCAAGCTGACAGTGCCAAGAATTTTAGATCCTGAATCAAGTGGCTATTGGAATCTTTAAGTCTAGTAACACACAATGTGAGAGGCATACTCCAGAAAAAAATGGGTATATTAGTTGCACAAATTAACGAGTTCCATGCATGTCTGATGGTTGTTGGATCCAATCCTCACGTAAGTTTCATAGAGCATAGGTTTCCTGAGCAAGAAATGTCTTCTCTGATACTTTTGGGGTATATTTCTTCTTGGGGAATGTGCAGCCATGACAGTTTGAGCTTGAAGCTATTTCATTGTCAGCTTGGATGCTTTCCAGTAGTGATTATAATTTTCAGTCTGTGCAAAAAAAAAAAAACCAACCAAACTAAACAACAACCTGCTTTAAAGTGAAGTGTCCTTACTTCCAGAAGCACAGTCTGATAATGAGTTCTGCCTTTTGTGGATATCCCTATGATGATTTTTCTTTTTTTTTTTTTTTTTTTTTACCTGTCTCTGTTTTGGGAATGGTTTATCAGTTCTTAGCATGTGTGACAGCCAGAGGCATTAGCACCATTCAAATGTGTTGTCTGTAGTAAAGGTGAGAGTGGCTTCATTTTTATGATCTGTTTTCCTGGTGCTTTTTATTTAACTTGTATACAAATTGGGTATGTAGGAATTAAAAGCCCAAAACATTGGTACCATCAGAGTTTCCTCATCTCTGACTGCTAAATTAACTTGATTTTGTTGCCTTTTTTTTTTTTTTTAACAAAGTACTGGAAAGTGTAACTCAGAAATTCAACCAAGAGTTTGAGAGACTGACCTGCTGCTGTCCTCCAGCAGTTTGGGCCTAGATCTTCAGTATGCAGACTGGGTGCTGAGCAGGAGTCTTGTCACCCCTGATCAAGAATATGTAAGGGTAACCCGAGGTGTAAATCATGCCAAGAGCATGCACAGTGTCTCATGGTTTTAGGTGGGACAAAAACATTTTAGGCTCTTAAATATGTATATTCATACAATATATTTTGGGTTTACTATTTTTTTCTTGAGCTTCTGTAAATTACAGTAGAGTTCTAACACTTATGCATGTCCAGTTTATGATGCTTGTTTGAATGTGCCTAATGATATTGGTTGCATACTGTTTTCAATTGAAGGTTATCTTAGGAATTGCTCTTTAGAACGGGAATAGATATGTCTTAAGGAATTTATATATCCTATTGTTCTTGGCCAGACACCTAGAAATATTTAGAACAAAGTTGTATTAAAGAAAAGCTGTCTTACAACTTTAAAATAATCACTTACAATTTGTGTTTTAGTGTGAATGTATGTATAAATGATGATAGCACACAGTTATCATCAAGGTACACACTGGGGCTTTTCTTAGAAAAGTGACAGAATGTCTCTAGTTGAAATAGGCTTGTGCCTCTCTTCACAGGGCACTAAAAAAGTTATTTGACACACTGCTGTGGGGTGGGGTAAGAGACAGAGGTTAATAGCTGGAAGGCTAGCTAAAGACTTACGGGGAAAAAATTGAGAATGTTTCCAACTATTCTTTAGCTTTTGTTCTGCGGAGGTGTAATTGCCTTTCCTTATCCATTAAGCTATTGTTCTTCTGACTCCCACAGACCAGAAACTGAAAGGTGTCAGAAGCCTGGATAACTCCTGAGATCTGAACAGTATAGTGGCAGATAGTGCACTGTGAACATACTAACGGGGTGGACCTGGCTAGCCCTTGGATGGGAAACCACTTGAGAATACTGGGTGCTGTATTCTCTGCCTAGCAAGAGCAGTCTTCAGACTCAGAAATAGAGGTTGGAGACTCAGTACCTGGCTGGACAAGACCCCACACAACCTTACTTTGGTCAGGGAGGTTGGACTAGACAATACCCAGAGGTATCCAGCCTCACTGATTCATTGGTACAGTAACTTCCTCTTGAGGCAAGATTAACATGACTTTGTTGAGATTTTTGGACCATTTCATGGATTATGCCTGATGTGGAAGAGCAAAAGTCCTATCAGAGATCATTAAAATGTGTGGGGTAAAGGAGGCTGTTGAGCAGAAAACTTTTAGTGACCTTAGTATTGGGCAAACAGTGTCTTGTCTAGGAATCTGAGGCTGTGTTGTCACTTTTGTAAGAAGTATTTTCTCATTTAAATTCATGGACTCCAACTGTGCACTGAATATTTAAGCTAAATAATAGCTTTAAAATTGTCAGCTATGTTTCTATAATACTGTCAATGAACACTGAATGTGCAAAGTCCTCTGTCTGACCCTGGGAGAACTAATGCATGTGAGAAGCTCTGTTAGGTGTAAGGTTCATTTGTGAGCAGGTTTTAGAGAAGACTGTTTGATTGAGAAGATACATAACCTAACTAGTAACTGATAGATTTTTATTTTTGGTGGCTTAACCAACCTAAGATATTTTGGTTAATCTAAGACTGAATTTACTTACACAATTACTAAAGCAACAGATGTACAAGAACAAACTGTATTGAGGGGAAGGAGGAAAAAAAAGCTTCTGCAAGCTCATTTGGCTGTGCTTAATCTTTGAAAATACATTACTGAAGTATCTTGAATGTGTTTTCTTGAAGGTGATTTTTGATCTCTTAATATTCTGATTGAATTCTAGCATGTCTAAGAATTGCAGACAAACTAGTATCTAGCCTCTGTGCCTACCTACCCTTTGATTGGGAATAAGTTGAAAGTCCTTTCACAGATAACTTATATTCGCTGAACTTTTAAGAATGTGTTCCTCAGTAACTTGGCAGTAAACTTTTATTTACAGAGCCTATAAAAGAGGCAACATGTAAGATTTAAGGCTTTCATCTGCCCTGACACTTTCTTGGTGTTTTTTTTTTCTTAACTTCACAGATTACTTAAATGTGTTTGCCCAGTAATTTGCATGGAAAGATTATGCAGATTTCCTTACTATAACTGATCCTTGGATGCTCTGTAGTAATATTGAACAAGAATAAATCAAGTGTTAAATTGATACAATGAACTGTTTTCTCATTTCTTTTTTGTTTGGCAGTTCTGGAAAACTGCATTGTCTTGCTTTTAAAAAAAAAATCAACCTTGTAATGTTAGCTCCTTTTAAGTTACTTAATAATATTTACATATAACATTAAGTGTTATACAAGTAATATGCTTACAAATTAGAAGGGAGCCTGAAAGTCAAAATTTAGATTTTATTAATAATGTTATTTAGGAATATGAAGCACGGACAGGAAGAATGTGTAAGCCTCCACCTCCATCAGCAAGACGTAAAAACATTGAATTTGAACCACTTTCAACTACTGCGTTGATTCTGGAGGATCGACCAGCGTAAGTATGATTCTGCTGTGGAAGTGATGATGACTGAATTTGTTAGATATGTTTCTGATAAGCTAACTCTTACAATTCTTATACAAAAGTATCTGTATTATTCCATCTCAGATAAACTAACAAGTACCTCCAGAAGAACCTGCAAATATACAATAGTCTATATGAGAAATTCTTTCTTACCATAATGGGACCACTGGTCAGTTATATGCTGTGTATCACAGCTGATTTTGACAGTGTTGTATGCACCCTTAATCAGGAAAATTACTGAAGACTTGTAGGGATTTCTTCCCTGTGTATACTCCCCCATTCTGGAAACTTGTTTCCTGGACCAGTAGGAAAGTCTTCACAATTGCAGCTGTCATTTTTGTGAATTTGGAGGTAGCTTACCAGAGAAGTGTATTAACAAAACAAAGTGTTAGGTAAGTAACTGCAGGAGTGGAAAGAATTGCCTTTGAAACCCAAGAAATAAAAAATGAGCTTTCAGCATTTGACAGGAAGGTACCAGGCCAGCATAGTTAACTGATTTGTGGGTACCAAGACAGAGTTCACTGAAACAGTTCTTTGCCCAAGTTCCTGTTATTTTTCCTTGGCTTCTTAAACCTACAGTTGAAGGCAACAAAACAGCACCTGTAGATGCAACAGAAACTTCATTAAGTACAAATAAGAATAGTAATGAAAAACTAGTAATAAATTGGTCAGTATGTTCAGCTACTATGCTGTCTTCAGCAATTTGAAGGAAAGAGGAGGACCTGCTGACTAGGAACAAAAGCTGTGAAGAAAGCAAATAGATCAAAGCTTTCAAATGGCACCCTGAGAAAACTTGTGGTGGCACTGTTAAGTCTTTGTTTTAATCAATTTCAATTAGGAAATGGAAAGTAGAATATATAGCACTGAAGTGTTTCTGTGGAGATTCTCTAAAGTGGTACATAACCTCACTCAGTGCTAAGACAGAAATATCTTGAACAAAGGTACAGATTACTGTAAGACTTTGTAAATGTTATTTACTTTAATGTATGGTGGAGAATAAGGCATACAGTAACTCGCTTTCTGATGTCTCTGTACTTCCAAAATTTTACAAATGTACAGATGTTTTTAATAAAGACACTTCTACTTGTTTCAAATTTGAGTGCTATCCCAAGAATAAATTCTATTCTAATTTCCATTGGAAGTTCTAAGAAAACAATCTGTTCTGCTTGCATAGAAGTAGGTAAACTTTTGCATGTTAAAATAACAGAACCGTCTCTTGCTTATTTTGAACCAAAGCAGAACAGAGATTGGGTAAGAGATTGAGACCAAACAACAGATTCTGTTTTGTTTTGAAATGATCCTGCATGGTCAGGAGGAAGTGTGTATTTGCAAATTAGGGGGATCACTGTGCAGCAAAAAAAAAAAAAAAAAATTGAAGCTGGCTAACAGCAAGTTCTGTAGCAAGCATATTTAACTTTAGGTCTGACATGAATGGGATCTATCTTTTTTCCTTCCTTTAGTAAACCTGTTTTCTGTTGTGAATTTTTATGGGCCTAACTGTAATGAATAAAAAGCTTCACATATTGAAAACATATAATCAGAGTTCTTGTGTGAATAAATGAAGAATTGACATGTAGGTATAATTAATGACTAAAATATGTATGTACAAAAATGTATCAGAATAATTTCATAAGAAATATAAGTATTTCCCTTTTATCACTTCATGCAAATTTCATTTGGACTTCATTTCAGATGTTCAACAAATAAAATAACTTCAGAGACTGATGTCAGATGAGTAAGAAAAACTTTTCTGCAGTGGTTTAATGTAAGTTGAAAGGAAAAAAGATGGAAAATTGGAGATCTTGGCTATGTCACAGTGACTTAAGATAGCATGCTAGTTTCTTGTGTTCTGGTCATACCCTGGGGTATGCTATAGGAAATGAACAGAATCAGTAAATATCTGGTAGTTGTACATAAATAGCAGTCTTCCACTGCAGTTACTGAAACAATGATAGTGTGACAACCCCAGAGCTCACCTTACAGAGAAGCCAAACTTAATTTGAAATGGTTCAGAATGTCACCTGTGTGTATTGAATTCAGGAACAACTTGTTTTCAGAAATCTTCCTGCCAAATCAGTGGAGGAGGCTTTACGTCACCGACAAGAATATGATGAAATGGTGGCAGAGGCAAAGAAACGAGGTATGTTAACTGCAAGTAACTGCTATAACTGTATTTAACTGTACAGCAAAAATAAGTTCTGGCTTGCACGCTAGTAGGTAGAGAACAACCTAATTTAATATTTAGGGTATTTTCTGGTACCCATGTACATACAACTTAAAATCAAACAATTGTTTGTTTCCTGTTCTAGCACAGTGAATGTAACTGAGTTCAGAATGCAATTTAACTTTCCTTAATTTTTAGGTAGAAACTTCTTTTTTTAAACTACTTGTGTAATGTGATCAGCTAAAAACTTTCTCTATACTCATTATACTCAGGCTCCTTTTTCAAGCAATGTTGCTACAGTTTTCACTGAGAACCAAAGTATACTAAAGCTGACTGCTTAAAGATGATTTTTTTCCAGGAATTTGATATCAAGTACAGTGTGAACACAGATGAAAACCTTTTTTCACCAATCAGCTGTACTTATGTGAACCTTTCTACTCCCATTAGATCTACTTTTTAAATTAAACGTATCTGTAGCATTTTGTGCTATGTCAATAAATGAATAATAGTTTGCTGAAAGACTACTGTATTCTCACAACTAGTATTCAGGCAATAAGCTATTTTAAGAGTTCATGCTGCATGTTGTACTTGGGCTGTTTTAAGTCAGATATAAGCTTCTGAACTCGTTGAGCCGCAGTATAGATCTGTAGCAGGTTATTCTGAAAGATGTAAGGAGAAATCTAAGGCATATGACAACATATGCACACTATAAGAGAAGAGTGAAATCTTGTAAGGTGTGGTCTGTTGGCCATATACTCCAACTGCACTTTTGAAAGGCCAACCATGTGTAATGTTTTAGTATGTGTGCCCTAGTATTCATTAAATTAATTATTGCTACACATGAAACTTAAAAAACACATACACCTTAAAGAAGCTGTTCAGCCCTATAAGTTTACTAGGGATGATGAGTTTACTTTTCTGATGTATCTAATGCATGTGGAAATAGAAAACAACTTGCAATTTCAGAATGTTTTTTCAGTGACAGCAAAGCTCTGTCCTTTCTAGCTATTTTAATAAATAGGCACCTATAGACAATCTATTTCTAACAAAATACTTGCCTTACTCCTGTTTAATTGTTCTGAAGAGTTTTGTAAGTCTGCTCATCCTTACTGAATGGGTCTACCCATTGGACATTACCCTCATATTTGGTAGTTGAAGCAAAACACAAGCTGGACGTATGTTATAGCCACTTGCATAGCCCATAGCCACTGGGCATATCTCATAGCCACTTGCCAAGGCGATCGGTACTGGGGCTGGTCCTCTTTAATATCTTTATCGATGGTCTGGATCAGGGGATCGAGGGCACCCTCAGTGAGATCGCAGATGACACCAAGTTAGGTGCGTGTGTTGATCTGCTTGAGGGTAGGAAGGCTCTGCAGGAGGATCTGGATAGGCTGCACCAATGGGCTGAGGCCCAACTGTATGAAGTTCAACAAGGCCAAGTGCTGGGTCCTGCACCTGGGATGCAATAACCCCGAGCAGAGCTACAGGCTGGGAGATGAGTGGTTGGAAAGCTGCCAGGCGGAGAAGGACCTGGGAGTATTGGTGGATAGTTGGCTGAATATGAACCAGCAGTGTGCTCAGGTGGCCAAGAAGGCCAACAGCATCCTGGCTTGCATAAGAAGGAGTGTGACCAGCAGGGCTAGGGAAGTGATTGTCCCCCTGTACTCGGCTCTGGTGAGGCCACACCTCGAGTACTGTGTTCAGTTTTGGGCCCCTCGCTACAAGAAGGACATCGGGGTGCTTGAAAGAGCCCAGAGAAGGGTGACAAAGCTGGTGAGGGGTCTGGAGAACAAGTCCTGCGAGGAGCGGCTGAGGGAGCTGGGTTTGTTCAGCCTTGAGAAAAGAAGGCAAAAGAAGGCTCAGGGGCCATCTTATCGCTCTTTATAAGTACATTAAAGGAGGCTGTAGCGAGGTGGGGGTTGGTCTATTCTCCCACGTGCCTGGTGACAGGATGAGGGGGAATGGGCTAAAGTTGCACTAGGGGTGTTTTAGGTTGGATATTTGGAAGAACCTCTTTACTGAGAGGGTTGTGAGGCATTGGAACAGGCTGCCCAGGGAGGTGGTGGAGTCACCATCCCTGGAGGTCTTTAAAAGATGTTTATATGTTGAACTTTAGTGATATGGTTTAGTGGAGGACTTGTTAGTGTTAGGTCATTGGTTGGAATCCTTTTTGAGGTCTCTTCCAACCTAGATGTTTCTGTGATATAGAAATATCTTAGAGTTCCACGTCTCTTTTAGCTGTATTGCTTTTTGTAATCATATTTTTTTTTTAGAGTGGAACATGCAATAACCGTTATGTTTTTATTTCATTGATTTTTATAATGCCTAGCTTTTCTATAAAATTACTTTTGTATTTATGTACAGTTACCAGGAACAGTGCTGGATAGTTCACGTGCAACTGTAGTTTACCCTTGATCTTTCACACACAATCAAAATAATTGGATAATTCAAATGATTTATCTAATAATTTATGTATAATAACAGATTTTTTGATGTTTTGCTTCACAGAAATTAAAGAGGCACATAAAAGGAAAAAAATAATGAGAGAGCGTTTTAAGCAAGAAGAAAACATTGCTAGTGCTATGGTGATTTGGGTCAATGAAATACTACCTAACTGGGAAGGCATGTAAGTGAAGTTTTGTTGTGTAAATGAGGCAAATGTAGCTTGTTTCTTCTCTGGTACCCAAGGAACGTTACTTTCCTTTTCATTTCTGTTTTGTCAAGAAATTCTTTTTAGTAAGAGATCATTACAGAGCAACACGAAATGTACTTTTTGGGAGCTTAGTTTTGTTTTTCTAATAGGGATTTAACAGAAGCAGATACCCCTAAATTTTAGTTGGGGAAATAGTATGTTATTTTGCTTGTAAATTGCCCAGTAATTTCATAAAATAGGATGTGTAATATATGCTTGCTTTTCCCTCTCCCCTCCTGCATCCCTATTCTAGGCGTGCAACCCGACGAGTTCGAGAGCTGTGGTGGCAGGGATTACCACCAAGTGTACGTGGGAAGGTTTGGAGTCTAGCTGTGGGAAACGAGTTAAATATCACTCCTGGTATGCCTTAACAGATTATATGTATTAGTGAAAAATTTTGTTGGTTGAAATTTAGGATGTATTTGCTTAGAAGCAGGTGTTTTAATATATATGTAATTAGACAATCATAGCCTTGTAAGTTTTGAAATTAAGGTTTAAAATATGCTTATAAAAACATTTTAGTCTTATAAAACTAAAGTTAAGGTGCAGATCCCCACCCCAATTTAATCTTGATGTTTAAAATTGAGAATTTGTAATTGTACTTTCTTGGAAGGTGGAGTAGAAAGGGAAATTGCTTTATTTCATAACCAATGAAATTCCAGTTTGAACTGGAATTGTTCTAACACATTCATGAAGTAAAAATCTGGATGATTTTAAGACATGATTTTCCTCCTGTAATTGGAATGTTCGCCACAGAAGAAGGCGTGATAGAATGCATACTATAAAACTATTCCAGTGGTTAGTAGTAACCAAGCAAAATAGATCCAACATCTCCCCCGGCCATGGTAAGAAGAAATAAAGCAAGAAAAACAAAACCAAAATACCTAGCATGCTTTTGTCTTTCAGGGGTGCTTTTCCTTACTTCTCTTGTTTCTGTTCTGTTTTCTTGTAGAACTCTATGAAATTTTCTTATCTAGAGCTAAGGAACGGTGGAAAAGCTTCAGTGAGACAAGTTCTGAGAATGACATAGAAGGTGAGATCTTCTGAATGCTAGACAGCTCCCTATTTATTTTTACTAACACATTAAATCTCATGAGATTAGCTGCAATTGTAGCCCTAGGAATACTTGTTAAAAGCCATCTGGGTTATTCATTACTTAAATATTTGTCATTTAATAACAAGTCAGTGAGGATCTTAACAGTATTTTCTGTATCAATAAAGGTGCATTGAAGTATTGCACATGCTACTTGACTTTTCAAATGAATGTTTCTCTGAAGTCCTGAAGTTCTAAGACTACACCTACAAAAATTTTAGATGAAACACAAAAGGAAGAAATAAAACTAAATTATATCATGTGCTATTGGTTATCTCTGCTTAGATTATTTATGTTGGTTTCCCTTCCACAGTTTTGGGAAAGAAGAAAATAATTATTCTCCATTTTCACTGTGGAACTGAAAGGTGATGAGTGTATAATTTATTATACTTTTTGGTCCTGCATAGGCTGCCCAGATGGCCTTTCCTCCCAAACCTATTTAATGAGCCTTTTAGCACATTTGTATTTACAATGGAGTTTTATCAGTGGAGTATTACTATCTCCTGTAGGTTTTTTTTGCTGTTAAAAATAGCATCACCGCTGGGTTTTTAATGATGGCTAGATCCTTGTCACATGTAGTAACTTCTCACGCAGTTCACAGCTTTTTTTAATGCTGTCTTATGTGATACTGGCAGTGCTACCTCCTATGAAATATATATTTTTCACAGAATCACAGAATTTCTAGGTTGGAAGAGACCTCAAGATCATCAAGTCCAACCTCTGACCTAACACTAACAGTCCCCACTAAACCATATCCCTAAGCTCTACATCTAAACGTCTTTTAAAGACTTCCAGGGATGGTGACTCCACCACCTCCCTGGGCAGCCTGTTCCAGTGCCTAACAACCCTTTCAGTAAAGAAGTTCTTCCTAACATCTAACCTAAAACACCCCTGGCGCAACTTTAGCCCATTCCCCCTCATCCTGTCACCAGGCACGTGGGAGAACAGGCCAACCCCCACCTCTCTACAGCCTCCTTTAAGGTATCTGTAGAGAGCAATAAGGTGGCCCCTGAGCCTCCTTTTCTCCAGGCTGAACAAGCCCAGCTCCCTCAGCTGCTCCTCATAGGACTTGTTCTCCAGGCCCCTCACCAGCTTTGTCGCCCTTCTCAGGACTCGCTCAAGCACCTTGATGTCCTTGTAGCGAGGGGCCCAAAACTGAACACAGTACTCGAGGTGCAGCCTCACCAGAGCCCAGTACAGGGGGATGATCACCTCCCTAGCCCTGCTGGTCACACTGTTTCTGATACAAGCCAGGATGCTGTTGGCCTTCTTGGCCACCTGAGCACACTGCTGGTTCATATTCAGCCGACTGTCCACCATCACTCCCAGGTCCTTCTCTGCCTGGCAGCTCTCCAACCACTCATCTCCCAGCCTGTAGCTCTGCTTGGGGTTATTGTGCCCCAGGTGCAGGACCCGGCACTTGGCCTTGTTGAACTTCATGCAGTTGACCTTAGCCCATCGGTGCAGCCTATCCAGATCCTCCTGCAGAGCTTTCCTACCCTCGAGCAGATCGACACACACACCTAACTTGGTGTCATCTGCAAATGGATTGGAGATGGTCTCCCTTTTGGGCGAGAAAATACCATTGTTATGCAACAAGTACTCTTTTGAAAAAGTGCTTGACTTTGTAGGTGTAGTGCTGGCTTCAGGAGATGGTGATGCAATTAATCCTTTTTATTACTAGTGTACAGACCATATTTCAATGTTGTTGGTTGAAATGAGCCAGTTAGGAATGAAAAATCTGAGAATTGAGGTCTTGCTGGATCATGTTTGGATCAACAACAGTGTTCTTGTTCCATGTTCTTGCCCAGACTTGGGAACTGAGGCCATGGTAGAAGATAGGGAAGAAAACGTTTTCAGGACTGGGCTGGGCAGAGTCAAATTCTAGTGAAATATAGTGGTGATCTGTGCCTGCGTAGTGTTTTAGAAGTAGAAGAACCTGTTGGTTTTAAGTCTGAATGGTTTCAAGCTGTATGACTTGAAAAAGAATGAGTGGATAGAGAAAAGAATTACTGATTGTTTCCCTTGCTTCTTGGACCTTGATGGCGTATACCAGGTATCAGTGGAGGCTATTTAATGTAGCACTTGAGAAGAGAGCTAACTTAGCACTGTGGAAGTAGTTCCAAGAATAAAGCTAAATAACTTTTTTCCTCAGACCCTGAAAATTTTCATATACCATGGCAGCTTTAATCTGAAGTCTGTAGAATTGCCTGTCAATTTTAATGACTGTTGGTTTTGCTTGCAGATGCAGGTGCATCTGTTGCTGATCGTGAGGCTAGCCTGGAGCTAATTAAGTTGGATATATCACGCACATTTCCATCCCTGTATATTTTCCAGAAGGTGAGAGTTCTGTAACTCTAGTTATAGCAACTTAGAACTTCTGCATAGTTAAATAAAAAAAAAAAGTAACCTGGCTAGTTAAGTATGGAAAATTTTTCAGAAGCTGTGTAAACAACAGAAGTGAAATTACTTGTTTTCCCACATACAACAGCAAATAGTCATGTGTTTTTTGATGAGATTAAAGTAGTGATTTTGTAAATGCTTGTAAATTAAGGACTGTAAGGCTTTTTCTCCTGGAAAACTGCATGCGGTTCCTATTACTGTTTATGAAATTACTTACATGCCAATATGCGAATATTCTCACAGCTAAAAAAAAATCCTGATGCGTGTTAGTATACATTTTCAGGCTTTGATTTTTATACAGATATATACATATAAAATAACTTGCGTTATTGTATTACGGTAACTTGCATTAATAAGAATTAAAACATCCAGTGTCTCAAAAGGCAAAGCCAACTGTATGCATACCAGGTATCCATTTCATACTGAATAGTTCGTCTGTTGCTTTTCCTTTAAACTCTCAAGCATACAAGGTAATGCTTAGAGTAAAAATTGGTGTTATTCTACATGTGAACAAAGCAATAATCTCATGGCTCACTGTTATTGTAATGTGCTGGCTCACTACCTACCTATTTGTTTATAACATGAAGTTTTTTCTTTCTTCACCTTGAATTAGGGTGGTCCCTATCATGATCTCCTGCATAGTGTTCTAGGAGCATATACATGTTACAGACCGGATGTGGGATATGTAAGTATTTATTGTAAAATATTTATAGCATATATGCTTAAAATGTCAAATGTTTATATATTAGATAAGTAGATTCTCTAAACTCCACGCTACTAGTTCTTCAAAAAAAAAAAACAAAACTTGGCACTTACTCATTTCATAGTAGTTAAAATGATTATAATTCTCAGTTATTTAAACAGCTGAAAATGTATTGGATGTTATGGACAAGTATACTATTTGGCTTGCACAGGAAATTTTTAAAACTGATTTTGTTCACTAAGCATTCTAGCTCTGACAAACCAAAAGTATCTAAAGGAAAAAAAAAAAAAACTGCTGGCAGAAAAAAGAAGTGGTGTTGGTTTACAGAAGCAGCTAAAATAACACAGATGCTTTTTTTTCTTGTTTCAGAGGGTTCCTAGGAACACTTTTCACAAGTTGTAATTGCTTTTTAGCTAGAGAACTTAAGAGAGTCTGATCCATGCAACAATATTTAGTGCAGGGTGTGTTTTCTTCCATGTCAGACATGGTTAGGACATCAATATCTAATTGGCTTTTCATGTTCGAATGCTTTTAGCTCTGAGTTTGTCATCTGTGACATCATTTTTGGAGATCATACTCTTTAAATGAGATTACAACCTCTGCAGATTCTGAGACTGCTTGTTCCCAGGGTGGAGTTTTAAAAGGCAATTAAGTAACTTTTCATGGATAGATCTTCTCTTTCACTTAAGAAAAGATAATACAACAATTACAGCTAGCCTGCATGTTTCTGATCATACTTCTCTTTTTTAATGTTAATATGATAGTAAATTTAATGTAATCTTATCTCTGCACCTGTCCATATCACAAAAAAATAGATAGCTGCTAGCTGTTTTTGATGTATATGAATGCTTTCTTCCCTAGTTGTTTAAAATATTAAGTGTCTTTTTCAAAATAAGGAGCAGGCAGCATAAATGCCTAGAAACAGCAGAACGATCATAATTGCAGCTGAAATTGGTAGAATTATTTCTAGTATAATGAATATTCAGATCATCACTTAACAACTACAAGAATAATCTTTACTTACTGCAGACTGAAGTGTTTGAGAGAAAGTAATCAGAGAAATGTGAAAACTTGTAGCTAACCACTTAAAAGTAGCTTTATGTTTGTGAACAAATACTGTTTGGCCTCTGGGAGGCCAAAATGTATTGACTGTTCTGAAACAGAATTTTGTCTCAATTCCAACATATCTGCCTGGGTCTAAACTGACCCATATGCGAGGTTTTTCCTTGTCTGCTTTTCCCACGGCATAACAATGACCTTAAAGCCAAGTTGTCTCTTATGTGTCCAACCTGTGTAGTTTTAATTTTCTTGCATTCCAAGTCCCTGAGGACTTGTAATCATGAGACCACCCAGAAATTCCATCAAGCACCTGAAGCCTGCATCTGAATAAACACATTCAATTTTCTTGTTGAAATCTAACTGATTGCATGTATAAAGATGATTTATCCATGTTGTTTCTGCTCATTTGGACGTGTTACATTACGGTGTTTGATGTATCGCAGAATGTAAAATACTTGCACTTCCAAAGATGGACTGAGCTTACTCACTTATATTTGCCTGATGCTTTTCCCACTTGAAGGTACAAGGGATGTCCTTCATTGCTGCTGTGCTCATTCTCAATCTGGAAGAGGCAGATGCTTTCATTGCCTTTGCTAACCTTCTAAACAAGCCATGCCAGCTGGCCTTTTTCCGTGTGGACCACAGCATGGTATGCACATAGTTTTCTGGTTTTGAACCTCAGCATTCTTTTGATTTGAAGCATATTTGATTTATTGACTTCCTTTTGTCCTATTGAATAATAGAGAATTTTAACCTGCAGTTACAAAACCAGGAATACCAGATACTAATCTGTAGAGCACATTATCCTATTTTGACTCTTCCTCTAGAACTGCTTAATTGTTGTACTTATCCTAAGAAGTCATGTTGTGCTGTATTGAGATCCTCAAGTCTTGGTGGGATTTGTGTTATTTTATGACTCGGCTTTCTTGTGATGACTGCTTATGTGTTGCTTTACTATCTCTACAGATGTTGAAATACTTTGCAGCCTTTGAAGTATTCTTTGAAGAAAATCTTCCCAAATTGTTTCTTCATTTCAAATCATACAGTCTTACTCCAGACATATATTTGATAGACTGGTGAGTTCAGAGAAAGTAGCAACTGAATCTTACAACTGTGGGAACACCTTTCAATTTTGCTATAGCTTTTTTCAGCAATACAGCATAAGAAAAGCATTTGTTAGATGTTTGCGTACCTCAGCTTTCTAGGTCTTCTGAAATCCAGATGAACTGTTTTGTGCAGCTGCAGTTCCTCTATCAGGATTCAAACTTTATAGACTCTGGGATTAGGAGTGACATCTATTCAGACAGAAAATGTGACACAAGAATCTTGTGGGCTTTTATTGTTGTTGCAGGTAAGTCAGGTATGCATAACATTAGAGGAGAGGACGTCATAGCTGGCAATGACTGATTGTGACTTGATGAAATAAGCATAAAGTAAAAGTATAGGAATATAAATTTCAAAGCAGAGGGATGAAATACAGGACCTGGTACAGGAAAGGATAAACTTGGGAATACAGTGAACATTTTTTAAGTAATGAATGCCCTAAAGCAGAAAGTACTGAACAATGGTATGTGCATGTAATGGAAGCCAATAACTCAGGCATCATTGAAGTGTGTGTGGTGTTGCCAGATACTGAGTGTCTCTTCCTAAGTGTGTGTGCATAAGTATCTGGTTCATATAGGATTATTATATGTTAGAAATTTCTAATAGTGTTGAATTGGATAGAATTAAATACAGAAATTGCATGTCATCCAAGTACTTGAGAATGAAGAACTTCTGCTTAGAAGATGCAGCTTATCAGTAAGCAGTAAGTCTCAGCAGGAGCAGTTTATACAATAACTGCAGTGAGCCAGGAGTGTGCTGCAGCACAGTTCAGATAGATAAGAGGTGTATATACATGTATGGTCTAGAAATAGTGCTGCTCTGCAAAATCCTAAAATACTCTGCCTCTGGTTATCTGTAAGAAATAAAGATTCTTATTCCTGACCATGTTCTGAAAATGGCCTTGAGGCAGTGAGAGCTTCCTCTTACGAAGGGAGAGTAGAAGAGGTTGCGGTAGCTGGTGGTGGTGTTCTGCAGTTCTTGACCCACTTCCCACTAGAAATAAAGGCAAAACAGAATATGTGCTTTGGATCACAGGAACAAATTTATAAGTGGGATTTTACAATATGGTGCATACAGCAGACTGGATGCTCTGCCCAAGTATAATGAATGCATTCTTAAAATAAACTTATCAATAAAAAAACACAACTGGACTTTGATACTAAAAAAAAAAGTGATTGTCTTTACATTTTAGTGAGTTTTAACATGAATATAAATTCAAAATATATCTCAAATAGAGTCGCTGAATTCCTGTCAGTGGGATGTAGTCTTTTACTGAGGTGATTTCTAGCTTTAGTTTAAAAAAAAATGAACAGAGCTGTTAATCTGTATGACTTAAATAATGGGAAAGGTCAAGGTCTGCACATAAATCTTTGTTTTAAATTCTTATTTGTATGTGACACACCATTTGAGTATAAGCATGTTTGTAACTAGATGTCGTAAGCTAGGGCTTTCTAAAGGATGCAGCTTTGTAATGGAGAATTCCCTGTAGAATGAGAAGAGGTGGGTTTCAGAATAAGAATTCTGACTTGAAAAACTGGAGACTTGGGTATCTTTGAAATGTGGATAATAAGAACACATGAAGTAACTTGTCATTTGGTTGTTCTTTATTAATAAACTGATTTAAAGGAGGTTTTATTTACATGTTTCTGAAACAGGTTAAATTTATAACTGTCCCTTTTTTCTCAATTGTAGGATTTTTACACTCTACAGCAAGTCATTACCACTTGATCTGGCCTGTCGTGTCTGGGATGTTTTCTGTAGAGATGGGGAAGAATTTTTGTTTAGGACAGGGTTAGGAATCCTTCGATTATATGAAGATATTCTCCTACAGATGGACTTTATTCATATAGCGCAGTTTCTAACGAAACTTCCAGAAGATATTACATCAGAAAAGCTTTTTAGCTGTATTGCAGCTATTCAGATGCAGAATAGTAACAAAAAATGGGCACAGGTGAGTTTCTTTATGTATATCAAAACTCATGGGCTCACGTCAGCCCATGGGGCACTTCTAAGTGACTCTGCATGTCAGACTTCAGAGCAGTGGGTAATGCTGTTCATGTGGAACTTAGTTTTAGACTAACCTCTGATGGGAGATGCATATTGGTTTGTATTTAAGGAGAATCTCAGGCTTTTGTTATTGAGAATTATTTGTTCTTCCCCTCTCGGAAAACAAATTGAGCACTATATGTTTGAGAGCATTAAAATAGTTGCTGAAGAATCTGTAACTTTTAATACAAAACAGTATGCCAGATAAATGTTTAAACCAAATTTTATCTGCAACTGCCCCAGACGTAGTCTAAAGTGAATTGCAATAAGACCCATTTGAATAAAAATAAAAGTCTCTTCCATACAGTTTTTGTTAGGACCTTTTAAAATCTTCCCACGTCCATCCATTGTACTGGAATTCTTCCTAGCTTTGGTGGAAAATACCTGTATTACAAATGACTGGAGCTGCTGCTGACAAAACCCACACTAAAGTAGAAGAGCAAAGTAGACAGTTTGGCTTGTGTTCTTGGCTCAACTCCAGATGGAAACAGTTGTGAGGAATAGCTAGGAAGTAAAGGAGGACTTGGGAATGCTGTACCTCACTATATCTTCCCATATCCATGAGATCAGTTTTTCCTGATCATTTTTATTACGGTGTGTTTCCAAAGAGGGAGGAAAAACTTTTGAATTTAAGGATTAGAGGTAATTGACTTCATTTCCTAGTCTCATTTTAGAAATAAGTTTCCATGCTAATATTGTGGTGGTTAAAATTATTCTTTGTAAGACTAGCTTTTTTATATTCATTAAATAACTTGCATTTCCAGGTGTTTGCCTCACTGATGAAGGACAACAAAGAAGGGGACAAGAACCATAGCCCAGCACTGAAAAGCTAATCATTGTAATGTTGAGGTCAACCGAAAATGTGGAAAACCACTTGATGACAGAGGAGTTTTCACATCATTTCTGTGTGGAAAACCACTGTAGAAAAGAGTGTGAAAAGCGAGAGGAAAAATGATACAGCTCTCAGTGGAGTAATGAACTGATGAAATCTTCACCCTTTTGCCAGTATTAGCTTATTTCATGGGAAGATTTGTTTTCATGCAGAATACTAAAACATGAAACTGAGAAGTGGGGGAGTTCATATTTAATACTTTAAAAGAATCAGCTCAATGCAATAAACATTTGTAATAACTTCTGTTGGTACTTAAAACAAAAAATTTTGAGGCATAACTTTTTTTACAAATACCACAAAGGCACTTTGGTCAGGGGGGAAGTGAGGGAAATGCTAAATCTTAAAGCCCCAAAACTGCTATCCAAACCAAATGCTTTGGCACAAATACCTCCAAAATTAACTACTTAAAAGTACTGAGGACCAAATAAGGTGGTTTGGTATATTTATGTGCAAGATGGTTAAAACTTGGGAAGGGGTATTGTCTTATTTGTTGCTTTTTTTTTTTTTTAAGTTGCGGCTTCATTCTTCAGTCTGGGCAAATGTAATTAACTCAGGAACTGTGGAAGTATTGTGCCCAAACCTGTTAGAGCAAAAATTGTGCATTTTAAACAGCGGTAAGATCAGGGCTACTATTTTCAGAGTGTATAGCTTTCAAAATGAGTGGTGTTAAGCATTTGTTTTGGTGTATTGGTTGTGCAGCTTCTTAAAAACGGAGTGGGTATTCTGTGAAAGGGTTTTGCCACCAGAAGTTTTATTTTGTTGAGCCATTTCCAACTATGATATATGTAATGGTAAACACTAGAAACTGACAAAGCTATTTGCAGACTTTGTATTGTCAAAGGAGCATCCACTTTTAACACTTCAGAATAATGCAGACAATAGTTTTTGAAACTCTCTTGTTAGTGTGCAATACTGAAATCCCAAAAGCATATGGTTTAGTGATACTTAGTTCTTTAACATCTTTTTAGCTGTGAAAAATGTCATATTGTACGTGTCACAGCGGCTGTTTGCAACACTTCCTTTTCTCAAAGATACTGTACAACAACTTTTGATTGTAGGGGTTGGAAACCTAAAATGGATAGCACTGCAGGTGAGGAGCACTTGCACTCTTTTGGTCCATTTTTGCTAATATTTAATGTAAATAAATTCCTTATATGTGGGTTTTGTAATTGGTCCCTATGTGGAAATCAAGTTGAAATTACCATTATTATGTATTTTTAAGAGCAGGAGGCTTTTGGTTGTCTGGTGTTCAGAAGCAGAGTCTACATAATTGGGGTAAAGATTTAGTGTGGTGTAATTTACATTGCTATCTGGTTTAAAACTACATATATACTACTCATAACATTACACTTCGCAACTTAAATGTCAGATTTTTTCTTAACTTATGTATTCACTACTTTAATTGGATCCAATTTGTCTTATATTTTTGTGTTATCTTGTACAGTTTTCTTACTTTTCAAGTATAAATCTGTATATAACTGTAAATAGAAGGATCAAGCCTTCCTTTAAGACCACTAGTAACACTTCCTGTGTAAATAAAACTTACACCAGACGTGCGCCGTTGTTTTTTTTTTATTATCACAGGACTTTTATTATTACTCCTTTATTATTATCTGTTACCTTTGGGTAAGTGGAGCCTCCGTGCTGTATTTCCTCATGAGGAAAGGCGGCGGAGCTGCCCCGCGGCCCTGCCTCTCCTCACAGGGCCGGCATGAGCCGGGCCCGCGCGGCCTCCGCCACCAGGGGCCGCTGTGGCCGGGGCTCCGCGGGGAGGCCCCGCCTCGGCCCAAAGCTTCCGTTGCCCGTGGCCGGCATCGCACGCGCCGGGGCTGCCGCCATGAAGCCGGTAGGAGGCTGTGGGGCGGGATGGCGGGGCGGGGGCTGCTCCCCCCCCACCCCGGGGCGCTGAGGAGCTGTGGTGTGAAGCGGGGCAGGCAGCGCCGAATCTCCAGCGGGGCTGCCCGGGCTGAGGCGTGGAGGGAGGGAGAAGCGGCTGAGCCCGGCGGGGGCCGCGGCCGAAACGTCCTCGGTGGGAGCCCACGGACCGCGCCCCTCAGCGCTGCCCCTTCCCCGCCCTGAGGCTTTGGCACCGGGCTGCCTCCCTCTGGGCGCCGGGGCCGAGCCTGGCACGCGCGGTGCGGTGGCACCCGGGCGGGTCCCTGCGCTGCAGCGGGACGCTGGCCGGAGCTGGCAGCTCCTGACAGAAGCCCCGGGCCCGACTGCGCTGGAGAAAGGAGGCAGGGTGCTTGGGAGCAGAGCTGTGCCCGAGCAAGTTATTTACCGTGCTTGGAGCGTTCGTGTCTGCTTCGTGACTGAACGGGGGGTGGGCACGGGCTTGGGGGTTGTCAAAGACTGGTTCCATAAAACGTTCTTAACGCCTCTCTTACCGTAAATTTAATGCAGTTGAGGTAAATTTCGAGCTGACCGATGATGACGTTTGAAGGAAACAACTTATTCAGCACTTATAGAAGCACAGACTTAATAAGAGCAGAAGTAACAACGTTGACTTTCACACAGGCTGTGATGTGAGAGCGTCAGTTACGTGTAGTTTTCTGTTTGTTTCCCAGAGAAAAAACACAAAGCGAGTTCCAAGCTTTCGGAAGTTACTGAGAACTAGTCAACTAAAACTTGACAACAAGTTAAAGAATAAGCAGTACAAGCAGCAGAGTACTGCTAAGAAGTATCGAAAAGAACAAAAGAAACTTAGGCAGGCTGTCAGAGATGCTGTCTGTAGAAAGCCTTTTCCATTGGAGGAATACAAGAAAAAACATGTTGGTAAGTGTTTGTTCAAATTTGTTTCTGCAAAGAAAAGGTGCGAGTGTTACCAGTAGTCTGCCATTAGTCATTGTAAAATTATGTTTCAGGAAAATGATGCTTTATTTACTGTGCACAGTATGCTTGCTGTTTTTGTTTAAAGGAAAGAAAGGGAAGTTAAAGAAAATGTAGGTGTTGTGACAAGATCTGACAGTTGGAGATGGTAGAAATGCGTTTGCTCTAATCATTATGGAATGCCACAATAAAGGGGCAATTTTCTGGGGTAATGTGAACATGCGCATGAAAGTTGAGGAGATCAAAGTTGAAGTAAGGTATAAAATGGTCTCTCAGGTGTAGGCAGCATTAGGTTTTGTAGCGTGAATATATGCACAGGATCTGAGTTTGTACACATCATCTCTGAAATAGCTGAAAAACGGGAAGAAGAGGAAGATGATGCACTTCCATTGGACATGATGGATGAAGATGACTTGAAATTAATGGAAGATTTGGCTCAAAAAGCATCATTCTTAACCAGGGATATTTCTTCTACGTGAGTATTATTGTGATGTCTGCTTTTTTAGTAATTCAGCTCTGTTGGGTTAATACAGAATGTAACACATTTATGAGGAGGTCATTTTCAGTCTGGTGTTCCTTTGCAGTTCATTTAGCGTTTCCTTTGTTGGTAAGTTCTGTGTTTGTGTAGTGATGTATATCAGTACATTTGCCTGCTCTGCCTGACCTTCAGGATGCTGTTTCTGCAGTGTTCATTCTTTTAAGGTCCCTGACTCCAAGACAGGTATCATGCCTCCAACTGAAAAAAATGTATATAATCTGTATACCAGGGCCCCAGTTTTCCTTGCTTGCTGCTGTAGTCCGTCATGGCAGAACTGCTCAGGGCTAAGTGTTCAGCGAGCTTCAGCTGTGCCAGGTTAGCTGCTCATGCAGTGGAAAGCACAGTGGGAGAGAGGCAGATAAAACAGCGGTCTGGCCTATCTGAGAGAGAGGCTGTGCTGAGATTCTAATAGCTTCTGTTTTGTAATTCTTTGTTTTACTTCATCTTTTTAAGTTTGTTTGTTTTTTTTCTTCATATTTTAGGGCAGAAGTTATGTTTCTGTTTAACTTTATCTGATTTGTCCACTGTTGCTATACTTGGAAGGGTCCCTTGAGTACCTTATGGCTACATGAATGTGAGCTGTGCCATCTCAAAAACCATCAGCTACCAATAGGTTTTCCAAATGTCTGGTATGACCCAGAATTTCCCTTGTTTTCTAACAAGCTGTGTTTTCTTCATGTGGAACAGATCAGTCACAGGTGTAAAGTTGCTGTGCTCGTTGAGTAGGATTTGAGCACATTGGAAATGTTTGATCTGCACAGGGACAGCAAAGCAGAGCCTGGTGCTGACCTTACAATGCATGTGTAAGGTGGCCGTGTGATATAAAACTACTTTGGATACAAGTGATTTTACTTTCTGAAGCCTACCTGTCTCTGGAATGCAGGGCTTTAAGAGTCCTTCACAGCTCCATAGTTGAAAACACTGCCTCTAAAAAGACCAAAAGCACTGTTCCTATTAAAAATGACTAATTGACTCCCTTCGAGAATGTGATTTGTAATCCCTGGCTTTTAGCTTATGAATAAGATAAACAGATAACACACTTCATAGGTGTACGTGCACTATAAGAGGTTACAGCTTTTAATTAATTTTTGTAAATCCAAAATCAACGCGAGCATTTTGCGTGTGTGTGTTTATACTTGTGCAAACGTTCCAATATTCACCAAGTAAGTTTGTTGATTTGCTAGATTAAATAAATCTCATTTTGTCTTTGCTCATCTCACATTTTAATTTTCTCTTAAAAAAGGGGTAGGATGTTCTGTATTGTCTTGAATTCAAAGATTCTATGTAAATCCGTATTGACATCATTTGATTGAGTGGTGACAGGTGCTGCCAGACTGAATACACTTGAACATTCCACTTGATATTGATTCCAGTATGATCAGTCATTATTTGTTCTTCTAGGTCTGGACACCTAATTCAGCTAGTATACTGTCATATATGCTTCATCTCTAGTTAGATGGTTAAGTGACTTAATTTACCTTGTATTTTCCAGTGAACCTGTTCACATCAAGAAACGAAAACACGAAAGTGTGATTGAAAAATACGAGAAGATGCCAAGACGCATGAAAACAGAACCAGAAAAAGAACTTATCCATCTTCTCCCCATCAAAGACAAAGGTGGCATTATTCCCCAAACCATGGAAAAGCCAGGTAAGAGTTGGGTTTTAGAATCAGTATTTACAAAATATTCAAAATATTTATTGCAAAAATCAAAATATTTATTTTTTTCAGAATTCCACAGTGTTTATCACATGCTTGACCATAGACACTCTGTTTTTGCAGTTCTCAATGTTGAAGAAGATGAAGAAGAAGAAGATGCAGAAGAAACGGAGGTAGCAGAGGGTAATAAAGCATCATATTTATTTATATATTTTTTTGCCAGATCACTGCCAGTCCATTGCTGTTCCCAAAGGAAGTTCGTAATTTAAATGGATTTTGTTTAGAGTGTTTTTGAATATATTAATTACCATGCTACCCCCAAAGCATAACAGCAAGACAGAGTTTGCTTTCTTACCTGCTAGGATCCCAGGACCTGAGGGAACAGTTCTCTACAGCTGGCTTCAGAACTGCCCTTTCTTTAAGATTATTTTGATTTTCATGTGGAACTAGTATCATTATTTTATTAGATAATTGTATAATATTTAGCGATTAATTATACAGTATAACGTGTTATAATATGACGTTAACATGAAGTTCTTTGTTTTAGTTGTGTCATCTTAGCTAGTGAGAAAGGAAATTTTAGTCCTAAGAAATATATGCTGTGGTTCTGGTTTGGTTATTTTGAGATAATTGTGAAATGCAGTTCAGGACATGAACTTGCGTAGGTTTTTGAAAATACATTGTCTTGGATATTTTTTTATTTAACGTCAAACATCAAGGTAGCAGGAGATTTAGATTTTGGATTGCAGTTTGCTATCCAGTTAATGGTCATATTCAAATAACAGTTCTGGAACTATTTCTGGGTTGTTGTTCTTTAAAGGTAATGTGAAGTTGAGGAAGGACATAGTGATAGCAAACTAATACTCAGAAAATGCAAATATCAATTGTATTTTTAAAAGAAAAAATGAGTGGTGAAAAATTTGCTCCAGATTGCAGGGCACTGCAGTTTCTTGGCAGAGTTGCAATTGTATGCTGAGTTTATATGTTATCATTGTACTTGGGGAATAATATTTACAGATTCAGAAAGATTTGGTCCATTTCTTTTTGCATGCATAAGGTTGAGAAGTGGAGGAAGAATTAAGCTCCGGGTTACTACATGCTCTAGCAGAGTCATTCTTAAAACTGCTTTTCCCATGGAACTGCATGTGGTATTGTTGCATGGGGGTTATAGCCCCTCTGAAGTGCAGTGTCTAGAACTGTAGTTTGCAATATGGTGTTTGTTAGTGGCTTCCCCAGTGACCCTTCTTTTTAATTCGTACATACTGTGATAGACTTCAGTGAAGAACCCCTGCCTGTTCTCACCCCTGAGGAAATGGCTGCTCAAAGAAAAAGAAAGCTGCAGGAAAGGAAGATGCACATTGCTGCCTTAGCATCTGCCATTCTCTCTGATCCAGACAACAATGTAGGTAGCTCTTATTTAACATGCACGTCTGTATGCCTGTGTTGTGCAGTAAGTCAATAGATAAAGATCAAAAGTGACCAAGTAATAGTGAAAGTGGAAAAATACATCAGTATAATGAGGGAAAATCTCAGTGTTGCATTGCTCACAAAGGACTGCAAACAGTGAAAGTGTTGGTATAGTTTGGTACAAAGGATTTGAATAAAGTGAAGGTCCAGATAACTGTATTTGCTCTGTTCAGGAGCATCTATCCTAAATACTAGTGGGCATCAGTTTAATAATACTAGTGTTTATAGGTTTAATAATGACTGTGGTATTTCCTATCCAAACTGTTGTTCCTTAAGCATAACCCCTATTACAGTTCAGATTTCAGGGTTGTATATAGAAGGTTTTCAGTGTCTCAGAATATGCAAATAAAAAAAAAATTGCTATAATTGTATTTAAGTTTGTAATGGCATGATAGTTGGAAACTCTCAAACTACTGCATTCCCAAATTATCCACTTTAATGGGTTATCTAGCATTTCTTGGTTCCTTATGCAGTACTAAATAGAGTCTGAGTAGCTATTCAGTTAATTGCTTTTCTTTTTCTAGTGTTTAAAAATGAGGCACGTTTCCTGTGGCAAGCTTGCTGAAGTGTATATTGTACTTGTTAATTGGTTTAAAGGGTGATTTCCAGCTGATTTCATCAGCCTCTTTTTTAAATCAGATTAAAAAGTTGAAGGAATTGCGTGCCATGCTGATGGAACAGGATCCTAACGTGGCTGTGATTGTTCGGAAGTTGGTCATGGTTTCTCTGATGGAGATATTCAAAGATATTGTGCCTTCTTACAGAATTCGGCCTCTGACTGAAGCAGAAAAGGCTGCTAAGGTGAAATACCAAGTTTTTCTATCTTTTTTAGGGTTTTGAGCAAAAGGTAACAAATACACAAGTACGTAAGGAAATTATGAAACTGTGACATTTCTGGGGTGTTTGTTTTGAACCTTTAATTCTTACAGACCTCCTCTGATAACCAGGTGACATTCTGATGGTAATGGAGGAAAATAATATCATACATTTAGTGTACCAAACCTGGATGACTTTGATCATAATAAACCTTTTGTGTCACACTGAGAGAGCTGGAAAAAAAGTGAATTAGACAGCATTGTCACCTCGCTGGCACAGATTTCTGTGAAATGCGTTCTTAATTTGCTGAACAAATTCAGAATAACTTGGTTTTTGGTGCTTGTTTGTAAGTAGTTTTTTAGGTGTTTTGAATATAGGCAGTGTGGTTTAGTCATGGCTCTGAAATAACATCTTGTTCCAAATTTCACTTTAGTTCCTGTAAATGAAATAATCCTAGTTTGAAAAGGCCCTCTGAGTACAAGAATATGTATAGAAATATTTTATTTTTAATACATTTCCAGGAATGCCTGTACCTAAGAAGAAAAGAACTTCTTAGATATTTGATATATATATATATTTTTAATGCACCACTGGCTAATTTCAGTCTTCAGCTCTCCAAACAAAATTTCACTTCTGTTATGTTTACAGGTTAAAAAAGAAACTCAGAAACTGAGAGAATTTGAAGAAGGCCTTGTAAGCCAGTATAAATTTTACTTGGAAAATCTGGAACAAACTATTAAAGGTACAGTCGAGACTTCCTGTTTTTTGAAGTAAATGCAAAATTTTTTTCAGCATCACAGTTTACCTCCTCTGACTGAATCAAACCACACCTGTCTTCCATGCAAGTAGTATTTTTCAGAATTGTAAAAATGCCTTCAGTAACAAAAAATGTGAATATGTAGAAGATCCCCTACATTTTGAAGAGTAATTACTAAAAATGTTGTTTTGTGCAGATTGGAAACAAAGGAAGTTGAAGAAAAGCAATGTCATCTCATTAAAAGCATATAAAGGTTTAGCGGAGATTGCAGTGAAGTGTCTATGTGAGCTGCTCGTGGCCTTACCCCACTTCAACTTCCACAATAACATCATTGTTCTCATTGTACCACTGATGAATGATACATCAAAAACGGTAAGTGATTTTCTGACTAGGAGAAGAGTTCTTGTTTTGCTTGAAAAAATAATTTATTTCTGAGCTTTATTCCACATCTTGTGGCCACATCTTTTCACTGTTTTTACAGGCTGCATCCACTTTCTGATTAGCAAATAGCATCAGTATTATCAGTTACCTGTTGTCGTGGATTTGACTTAATAGAAAAATTTGAATTGACCTTTCAGATTTCTGAATTGTGCTGTGAGGCAGTTCAGAAGCTCTTTAAACAAGACAAGTTGGGCAGTGCTTCACTCGGTGTGGTTAAGGTCATTTCTGGCCTTGTGAAGGGTAGAAGTTACAACGTCAGACCTGAGGTAAGAGTCTTTATGTTGTACTCCACAATTTTCTTCTGTCAGTGGTTTAAAAAATATCTGAAAGTTAGAAGTAGTGCAGCTGCTGGCTATGGACAAGCAGAATTTCGTCATTCTGCCAGAACACGAGGAAGATTAGGAATGGTCTGAGCCAGAAGGGGTTAGAAAGAGAGATATGGGGCAGGGGAAAAAGCACTGGGAGGAAAAGAGCAGATCCCAGCAGAGACATGGACTAAATCAAGCAGGAAGACTTGAAGTGTGAGGCAAGTGAAGGAATGGATAGAAGTTAACATTGCTGGGGAAGGAACTGGGAACAGAGATGAGTGATACAGATGGGAAGGAATATGAGGGGTGTAAACAGAAGAATCTGTGACTAGCGAAGCACACAAGCTAGTATGGAATTCAGAATTTCTTCTCCATTCCTTTGTTGTGGGTTACTTTTCATTTTATTTTTATTTTTTTTTACCATAGGTGTTAAAAGTTTTCCTTCACTTAAGAATTAAGGAAGTAGAATTAAAGAAAGATTCTGAAGACATTGCACCAAAGAAAAAGTTTATGACTTTCAAAGAGAAAAGAAAAAATCTTTCAAGAATGCAGAGAAAGGTATGTCTTGTGCTTCCTAATGCTCTACTTCAGTGGCTTTATGTAGGAAATTATTCTAACAATTGTACTTCTGTTGCTGTTGTTAACTCTCAGCATCAGTGATTAGTGTTTGCATTACACTGGAAACATTTACAAGGTTTTTTGTTCTCTTCCTTGTGTTGATTGTCTTTGGGGCATTGGTGGTGAAGGAATAAACCTAAGTTTGTTACCCTGTAACATCACAGGATGACTGAAGTGCTCACCAAGCATGGAAGATTTGGTTACTGGGTATCTTTGGAACCTGAAAATCGAGGCTGGTTGGAAACATTTCGTCTGCTGGAATATTTGTTTACTTAAAATTAACTTTATGTTTTCAGTGGAAAAAAGCAGAAGAGAAGCTGGAAAGAGAACTCTTGGAAGCAGAAGCTTCAGAAAGTAAAGAAAAGAAATTGAAGCTGGTAAGTAGTTTGAAATTACTTTCCAATTTTTGCAAAGTAGGATCTCCTAATCCCTTTGTAACCAAGAGTCTCCCCTCCATCCCATACTGTCAGCATTCCACACCTCTAGATGATGTTGGCAGCTCACAGACATTTAGCCTGTGCCAGAAGTCAAGATTTTAGCAAGCAGAGCCTTTTCAGTGTACCCAGGAAAAGAGTACAATAGTACTATGTGCATTTTCAGTGGAATTTTAAGTGAACTAGAAATGTCTGTTTTTCATGACTACTTATTTATTTTGTTTTCTTCCCTTCAGCACACAGAAACCTTGAATGTTGTATTTCTAACATACTTTAGAATCTTAAAGAAAGCTCAGAAGTCTCCACTTTTGCCAGCTGTCCTAGAAGGTCTTGCAAAGTAAGAGCTAAATTCAACTTTTTGTATTTGTTAGAAAAGGCATAAGGTGCTTAAAGGACTTGTGACTCTCCTAAGCAGTGAGAGAAGACTGTCTCTGTTGAATTTGAATTCTATGCTGAACTCAACCTCTTCTAAAAACATTTCAATGCAATGTGAAATTGCCACAACAGCACTGATGTGATGCAAACCCAGCAGGGTAGGATGTGATTACCTCATTTTGTCTGATTACTTCCTGAAGAACCTGAGCATGTCTCTAGTGCTATCGAGGAGCTGTGATTAGCAGTTGGGGGCTGAATTGTCTGTGTATGGGAAGACGACAGATGTTCAGCATTTGATTTAGCTCTGCTTTTAAGGTGTGGATTTTAGCAAGTCAAAATGCTTTGAGATTAGTTTGCAGGCAATATCTCTAGCTTAAAAATAAATCTCTTTGATTAAAGGTTTGCCCACCTCATAAATGTGGAGTTTTTTGATGACCTGTTGATTGTTCTTCATTCTCTCATTGCATCTGGGGTAAGTAGAGCTTTGTTTTCTTAAAGTTTTCTTAAAATTAGCTTCTTTTGTGTACTGAATCAGTTTTTTATTCTTAGGACTTAAGCTATCGGGACAGTCTTCATTGCGTTCTCAGTGCTTTTCATATACTCTCTGGTCAAGGTAAGAGATCTTTTAAAAAAACAAATAATTCAGTTTAATATCATCTGATAAATTGAGTGAACATTTTTATTTGGGATTATGTTGATAGGTGATGTTCTTAATATTGATCCGATGAAATTCTACACACATCTTTACAAGACGCTGTTCAGCCTACATGCAGGTAACTCCAGATTATTACTTGTGTCATCTAACTACATAATGTTTATTGTGCTTGTTTGGTGTTATAATCTTAATATGATGTTACCAAACTACAGTTATTTTAAGACATCCGAGTTCTGAAAAGGGTGCAGTCTTTTTTAACTTAGTTTTTCTCAAGTTGCACATTGTGCTACTGCAATAGAAATACCAGGATTATTATTGCAATACATGTTAACAGGTTCTATGTCATTTCATTAGTGAATGCTGAGTATGGGATCTTGGATAAGCATTTATCCTGTCCTCATCTTAATTTTTTTTCTCTTAATAGAGAAAAATCTCTTAATTTTTCAACATTTAAAAAATAATTTCTAATTTAGACTCTGTTTTCTAAAATCTTGTTTTATATTTCTGATTTTCTAATTTTCTAATTAACCTAAAATTTCTAATCATTCTGAGGCTGAATAGTTATGAAAAAGGATACTCATAAAGTTTGAAATTCATGTTTTAATGAGCTTCAAGAGTTTGTATTGACTGAGGATGAAGGATTGAGGAAAAAAAATTGTACTGTTCTGGATGGGCAAAAGTATACATCTGTCACTATTTAACAGTTTATAAAAGATGATGCAAAGAGTGCATGTAAGGTTAAAACACTAACTGCTATTTAGACTTTTTGATGGAATAAATATTTTCTTAGACAGGAGCACAGAAGCAATGATACATTTTTTCTGTTCAAAGCTGTTTTTACCAAAAAGGAATGAATGTTCATGCCTGTATCACATTAGTGCTGTGTTAGAACCTTTTGGACTTCGATGCTGTTTCTCAGGTTCTGGTGTACAGTCACTAGCAGAGTATCTAGTTTTATGTTCCTTGACATGATTATTCACTCCTTGTATGAAATTCTGTGTTTCAGGCACTACCAACGATGACATCAAGATCGTGCTCCAGTGCCTGGATGTCATGCTTGCAAAGCGGAGAAAGCAAGTTTCCCAGCAGCGAGCTCTCGCTTTCCTAAAGCGACTTTCCACACTTGCTCTTCATGTACTTCCAAACTGCAGTGTTGGGATCTTGGCAACAAACAGGGTATTAATGCAAGTAAGTTTTAGTTGGTGGATTTTTTAGCTTACTGGTTATAGGCTATTTTTTGACAAATTGATTTTATGCAGAATATTTTGAAGCGTCTTAAGCAAGAATGATGAAGACAGAGCGTCCTTAAACATGTGTTCTAAAAGGCTGAATAACATGGAATGAATCCTGGACTTCAGTTAACTGTGTGTTATAGTTGGATGCGTAGTATCAGCAACTCAGTCCATTTCTTTGTGTTCTAGACATTCCCAAAGATGGACCTCTTACTAGACAATGAATCTCAAGGCAGTGGAGTTTATCTCCCAGAACTTGATGAACCAGAGCATTGCAACGCCCAGAACACAGCTCTGTGGGAGCTGCATTTACTACAGGTTAGTGAGTAGCTGCGTGATTTGGGAATGTGAGCAGTAAATACCTTTTAACAAATAGAGAACAGAACTCTTCAGGCTTATCAATCAAATCTGGCCCACGTGAACCTATTCCCTACAGAGATGAACTGCAGCACCGTAGTGTAGGGAAGGAACAAACTCAAAAGAGGGTGGTACACATCACCCATGGATTTAGTCTGACGCAGTACCACACTGGGTCTTACAGCAGGTTGCCCACTAAGACTCCTTTGGAAGCTTTTTCAATCTGTTAAGTTCCCAGGTGATCTAGCCTTCCTAGTTGCTCTAGCAGGGAGCAGCTTACACCTCAGTCTGTCAATCCAGGCAGCATTTAGGGTCTGGGGTTCAGGGAGGGTTTCCTCTGCCCTTTCTCCTGCCTATTCAGAGGAGTTATGTTAACTGTAGATAATTTTGCTCACAGCATGACAGCTACTAGTGAATAAATATATGACTTAGGAGTTCTTATTCACTTAACTTTAGAAACAGACTGATTTTGGGGTGCTCAGTTTCTCTATCTAAAACAGGAAAGCCTCACATCTTACTGGAATCAAAATAAATGGGAGAATGCATGGGTAGATACATTACCCCTTATCCCTCACTCACCTGCCTTCTTCCTTCCTTTCTTTCAGAGGCACTATCATCCAACAGTGCAGAAATTTGCAGCTCACCTTGCTGTTGGAGCTCCAGATGAAGGCTCAAGAGCTCTTCCGCTTGATTTGAGCCGAAGGTGAGCTATCAAAGGGTTCCCATCCCTGGAAGCATTTAAGGTCAGGCTGGATGTGGCTTTGGGCAACCCGGTCTGGTGGGAGGTTTCCCTGCCCATTGCAGGGGCATTGGAATTAGATGATCTTTAAGGTCCCTTCCAACACAAACCATTCTGTGATTCTATGATTCTGTTTGTAAAAATAGTGTCCTAGCAAAGTAGTTGCTCACACTGTATTAAAGGAACACCTAAGCTAATTACCCATAAAATTAAAAGGTTCTGTTCTTCAGAACTCACTTTCTTTATTCTTCTGCTAGCACAGAAAATCATCTGCTTTTTTTTTTATGCATATTCTAATGTTTGGTTTTTAAATATCTTTTGAGGCTTGTTTCCAGGCTGTGACGGGAGTAAAAAATCTCCAAGTGCAGCATGCTTTTTTCCCGTGGTGCAAAATATCTGGATTTATTTTTTTGACTTTTCAAAAGTGTTCCATGTCCCTTGAACCAAAGTACACATTTTGCAAATAAAGCATTGCTTGGTATGGGTTCCATGAGTCCACACCTCGTTATGTTATGAACTAACTTTTGTTTTGAACCTGGTACCAGCATGCATCATTTAATGGCTCTTGGTCCTTGCTCTGGGAAATGACGTATTTGTGACGTATTTTACTTACCCTGTTTCACAGGGGTTGGCTTCGATTTGTTTCCTATTGATGTTCATTACTCTGAGGAGTTCACTTAAAGCAAGGCAGAACGGTATGAATGGTACAGGGGGACAAGCTGCTCTTGGTTTTGGTGGCATAGTATTTGCAAGTGTATCTAATGACATTTTTCTTTCCCTGTGGAAATTGATTTTGCTATAGGCCTGCTACAGAACTTTTTGAGGCATACAGTATAAAAGGAATGAACTTCAATCCTCCTGTTCCATCAGTAACACCCAGAAGAAAGGTACTGTCTATCCATGTCCTTTTTTTTGACCATGAGATGCACCAATACAATCAGTATTTGCAGGTTCTTTATGTGGTGCCCAGGCATTAAGTGCTCTCAGTTTGGCTTTCTGGTTTGTGTACTTTCTCAGTCAAGTATTTTTTAACATAAGATAGAACTGACTACAAAATAAGGAATAAAAGCTGTATGAATAGATCCATCTCCTGTAGCAGTCAGCTAACATAGCAAGATGCATGTGGTATCTGTTTTACTTCACTTTTGCACTTTGCAGTGGTTCCTTGTAGGTTTCTTGTCTGTTTCTGTATCAATAAATAAATGTTTGTTTAAAAAGCAGCAATAAAAAAAAATCAATAGCTGCCTCCCCAGTGTTGATAGTTAGCAGGACAGCTGGATTCTCAGAGCCTTTGATGCAGTACGTAGGACAGTGATCCTCATCAGTGTCAGTGTGTAGATTTTAAGGGCAAATTTGAACAAAGAGCTAATGTATGAAGAAGAGAAAGGGTGAACACTTTTTAGATCTTCGGCATTGGATGTGTTCCACATGCCAACCTCCATTAAATGTTCAGTGAGCAGTGTGTCCTCTAACAAGAGGTAACTAATTCTCTTTCTTCCTAATGAAAACATAATAACCCATTAACCTTGGTGGTGCCTCCACTTTTTAACTCAGTAACGTCAGCCTTCAGCACATTTTTTTTTCAATTTTAGAGAAGCAACTTCTGAAAATTCAGCTGCATGTAGTTATTCTGTCCTTTTTAATGACTTCTTGATATGTCTGTCCTGTTAGGACAGCAGCAATTCCGATAGAACAAGGCTGGGACATCAGATAGGAAAGAGATTGGGTAGGACTTGAGTAAGGAAATATGCAAGCTCTTTATGGAGGCAGAAACAAAGGAAGAAAATAACAGAGAGCAAGCTGAGTTAGATGGTTATAATGGTTATGCCTGGGAAATTGTTTTTCTGTCAGCACCTCCCCCCTGCTGACAGAAGCTCTAAATTGGAGTTTTCTTTCCTTGTGTACTGCTAAAGAGGGGAATCTCATTTGTCCTCTAGTGCATGAACTACTTGGCTATGTGAGTGTTAAAACTTTAACAGGGAGCTATAAATCATGTGCATGACCTTCCTCATCTGAGCACCAGGGAAGTGTGGAGGTTTCCAGATCTGGCTCCAGCTGGAAGGAGTCTCCTGAGGCAGCAGAGTCAGTCCATTCCTTTCTCAGATTCTCGATCTACTGCTTGCATTATTGCTTTAACTCGTCTTTCAATCAGAGATGCTTTATTTATTTTTGTAAGGTGTGTTGAACAGGAGCAGTGTGTAAGCTTGTTCAGAGCTATGTGTAATAGGTATTATTCTAGAAACCAGTTTACAACAAAACAGAACAAAAAAATCTTCACCAAAACCATGAGTATCTGAAGGACTGCAGGATATAAGACTTCTTTGCCATCAAAGTGAAACTTACCAGCAGGCCAGACTTCACTCAGTAGGCAGATAGTTCCACAGGTGTGGTCTAGGAGATGACCAGGGGCATGGAAGAGAAGCAGGACTGATAATTAAAGATACCCATTGAAAACATTATACTGGCCTTGTTTATTAATGGAACTAATCTGTAATTTTCAGGATACATTCTCAAAAAAGGAATCATTTCTAAGTGAAGAGCTTCAACAACGCATCAGCAAGACTGTTATTCATGAAAATTTGGATTTTGCTAAACACTTAAAGGAATCATCGTTGTCATAAATGGATCTATCAATCATGTTCAGTTGGCTTCTTAATTATGGAGAAGAATTGGTTGAAAGAAATTTCCACTCATCTTAAAATGATTTTAAGTAGGCTTTTGTTTGAGTATACAAGAAAACAAAAAATAGTGGCAGTTTTTACAGTTACGAGGCCTTTCCAGGTAACCATCTAGCCTATGTTCTCAGGGCTTGGGAACCACAATGAACAGTCGCATCAGTAATTAAAAAAAGATACAAAACCAAGTCATTTTAAAATTGTCTGAAACCATGCATTATAGTATTTTTGTTTATAAACTTTCTATTTTTTTGTAATAGAGTGTACATCTGTGTTTCTGAGAAAACATGGAGTTATGTTAATAAATAAATATTTTGGAAATTTTAACATACTATTGAGTTCTTTGATGTTTAAGATACCTGCAGATTTGGAATATGTGTTGTCTTTTTTTCTGTTTCTTTCTTTCGATGTCTCCTAACCTTTTTTCATGTCTTGAAATTATTTTGCCTCTGGTGTTTTTTTTTTTTGTTTTTTTCTTGTTTCCACTGAAACCTCAGTATTAGCAAATTTGAGATTACAGAACTCCAGTTCTGCATTATCCTCACAATTGGCAACTCTACAACAGTATCTTCAGTAAACTACCACTATCAAGAATACTGGATAAATTCAAGGTAAGAATTTTAAATCTTTTTAATCTTGGAAGTAATTTTCTCTCCAGTACACAAATATTAGTTGTTGTCTGGTGTTTCAGAATCCATTTTCAGCTGTGTGTTTGCTTTGCAAAACAGTAAGTAAAATATATTAAATAAGTGAAGAATGATAACTGGTTTTCTATGGATTCCATTCCGTTGGGCGGTGTAGTGGGCTGACCTGGCTGGCAGCTAATATGTGCTGTAGCATTTAGTCTATGATGTGATAATAAACCTGTGTAATTAAGTTTTTCAAAGCTTTTGTTAGTTTTTGTTGAGTCACTAACCTCTTTACAATAAGTATAAACTACTACTTTTTCTCTAGGGCATTTAATGCTTTATCCTGATTTATGGTTCTCAGCTTCTTTTATTGTATTTTATTCATTTTGATATTATATGTATTTTTAGTGTTAATCAGAATTGTGGACCAAATTCCAAGTGGTTAAACGTAAATTGCAAACATTTTTTCAATGGTCATTTATCCATTAATGGGTTAGAAAATACGTATTTTACTACGGGGATTACAAAACGTAATACTGATGGTAATACACATTTCTGTCTGTTCAGGTTGCCATTTCCATAGTTTTTGTGTAGTTCTAAATAGCTGTTAAGTGATTGCAAATACGGATGTGACATACATTCTGAAAAATTCTAGGGGCCCCATTAGCCAGTACTTTGTCAGTTTAGGAAGGCAAAAGTAAAGAGTCAACATCTTAAAACATTATTATTTTTTTGCAACATATACATATACAAGTTTATTCTTCAAGTCAGCAGAGAGAAAATAGGTGGAAAGTCACTTTTAAAACTGTTAATTTTACATAGTTTCCAGGCAATCTAAAGACTGGCACATAGTGATGCTGCATTGTTAGAATACTTTGATAGGCTCTTAGAGGAAGATGAGTGTACAACCAATTAGTAAATGATTCTGAAATATTCTATATGAGTATCAAAGCAAAATCTATTCACTGCTATTTATTTCTGTGTTTAATTTGCTAACTCTGCCAAATGTATATTGTAGTTACAAAATATTTATCACAGACAGAAAAAAAAAACCTCCACCATTGTTACATTTAGCTGGCTACCCTAAAAGTAAACTGAGTTTTATAGTGGAGTAGTAACAGCCAGTGATTAAAAAACAAATGTTACCTGAAGCTTAGTAGCATTCAAAGAGCTAGAGCAGAATGGGCAGTTCAGTTTCAGAAGCTGCAAATTCAACATTTCACTGAAATGTAAACCTACCAGCAAGTTCTTTTTTAAAGACAAACCATTAATTTAAGAGAATGCGTTCTTGACATATTTAGGCATGTCCATGTTAAAGTAAGTTTTTATTCCTGAAAGCATGTGATTTGCAGAAGCAGACCGCTTTGAAAAGATGCCCGTTGAGATCTTTCATCTAGTAATATTCAATAGCATCAATAAAAAATAAAAATATGACTAGGTTTTGAAAATTGAAATAGCATTTCAGATTCTTCTAACTGTTAAACTTGAACATACAAATAGGAAGCCCTTCAGACCTCCTGGCATGCCCTGGTTCCTGAAAATTGAGTAGTATTGCAGTGAGGTCAGGGTCCTGGACTTCTGTCCTATCTAGTCATAGCACTGCAGGCAGCACTGACTATGCAAGGAAAGTAAAAGACGCTGGTAGAAAAGTAACAGTGGTTTTAAAATAGTATCAAAGAAAATACTTCCGTATGGCCAAAATGCAACAGAGTGAGATTTCCACCTGTAAACTGTTAAGTGTTGGTCCTGCTACCACTCAGAGGCTACTTCTGTCTGGAAGGTGTTGATTATTTACATTCCTTGCTTTCAGACTTAATCCTGGAAGCTGCTTCCTGTATATAGTTTGTAATGTGAAAATAAATGTATTTTCCTAATTGATGTCCACATCCAGCCAAAAGCACAGAAAGGGACAAAGTTATTTTGTCAGCCTTGTCAGAGGAATGTGTGGACAAATATTCCTGTAGGAAGAAACTCATCTGTGACTAAGTAGAATAAAGTTTCCTGTTAGAATTAATAACTCAGCATATTAAATCTATTTAACTGGACTTTCTTAAAAGTTAACAAAAACGCAAACCTGTTTAATGCTTCAAGTTTTCATTTCAACATTTTTCATTAGTAGGATATTTGGAACCAGCACAAATGGAAGGATACTCTTCATTTCCAACTGCACCAAAAATGAACCACATTTCAACAGCAAAAAAAAACAAAAGCAAGAAAACAACAAAAACAACAACTAACACCAATTCACTCTAGTGTTTACCAAGCTTTCTGTAACTTGAGATTGTGATATGTATACATTATTTTTCACTGGAAAATACATGTAATATACTGGAACAGTTTAATTAGCCTTATAAAATTATAGATACCTATATGCTGGTTAAGACTTTTCATAATAGAAAGCCAAATATTTTATTCTGTTTCACTGTGACAAATAGCAGCAAAAGCAGCTTTAGACCTCGACTGATGAGTAAGACTTACTTACATTTATAAAATTCTCCCACAACTAGAGAATTACTGTATTAGCAGACATGGTATATAAGTGCTGTTTTTAAATTGCCACTAGACTTTAGGCTAGTGTTTACTATTGTGACATGGCTACTGTTACCCCTTAATTTCCTAAGTGTTGTTTTTTGTTTGTTTGTTTGTTTTTAAATCTATGTGACAGAAAAGCAGTAGTGGCTGATGACGTGGCTGTAACAACTTCCAATGTTGGAGCAAGCATGCATTCCAAACTACTGTGAAAGTAGAAGTGACGGTAAGAATTTTATTTTCAATGTTGTGGAATATTAAAAAAAAAAAAAAAAGCCAAGCAGGTAAGGACAAACTCTATAGGAAAGTATTATTTCTAAAATAGTAGAAAAAAAAGTGGTGCATTACTGCTACTGTGTCAAAATAATAGAATGAAATTAACATTAAAAAAAACCTGTTGCACTGGTTGAGTTGTGCAGTAGGTTATTTCCCAGTCATTTCAGAGTATTTCAAAGCAAACTAGGCATATAAAACTAGGGATAATTTGTACCTAACTAACTTCTAACATATTTTTACGCAGTATCATTCTTTCATCATGTATGTACCAGGGGAGTGGGCAGGGGGAGAGTACACCTTACTCTTCTGGGGCTGTTTCTGTTGTTAAAATGGACAATACCTGAGTGGAGAGGCTGAGCCAGGAGCTGTTTGGGTTTTTGAATTGGATAATGATTGCTGAAATGCAATTTGCTGGTTGGCTACATCAGTACTGAGCATGAGCAGTAGGAAGTGTGTGGCCTCTGGGAGGATGTGCTACAGGGAATGTGCTACAGGGAAATTTGACCATGTCTGTGGCTGTTTTTCTTGAAAGTTGGGAATGACCTCCAGGGGGCACTTGTTGCTTTGGTAATGGCTAATTTGCAGGAATTCTCTGTTGTGTATAGTCAGACTCAAAAGAATCTGATGAGAGAATGTAGGTTCTGCCTGCTCGTATGTTAGTCAGTTAATGACTTTGCTTTCTTTTGGTTTGTTTTGTAATTATGGGGGGTGGAGATTGTTGTCTCAGGTGTACTATCTGTAACTTCTTTCCCTTCCATCCTTGTACTGTCAAAAGTGAACATTATTTTAGTTGTACTGTAGTTTTATCTTTTGCGTGATGCAGCTTCTCCCTGAGGAGCAGCATTTTTTTTGTGCTTGAGTGCTAAAGTTGGTGTGCAAGCTCTGATTGCATGAACCAGTCTCTCTATGCATGGCTTTCTTAATTTAGTCACACCAACTAACTCAACGTGGTTCAGGGGTTGCTGTAGGGAGACAAAACGTGCAGAGCAATTTATTCAACACAGATAAACGTCATATGGGAAATCAAAGAGATGGGTGATTTCAGCAGTTGTTTCATTTGTGCCCCTTTAACTTAGCATGGATTATTTTAACTAATTAGGCACATTAATAACTCCCATGGAGAAAAAAAAAAACGACAACCATAACTAACTTAAATATTAAAATTTGGTTTCAGCAAACATTAAACTTTATAGCAGTGGTACTATATAAACAAAAATGGCAGGAGTTATAGTGAAAGAGGCTATACTCTGGATTTAACAGGAAAGTAAAAAACAACTAGACGTTTCCTGACTGTACGGAAAAATGTATTTTGAATTCATAATTTTGAAGTGTTAATTACATTTTTCAGCATATTGTTTGAGTTTGGTCAGTTTGGGGTATTAAAATTCTTGTGCTGAAAAGAAACAAGCATGAAAGTTCAAACATTTTTTTCCTCTAAAGACAGAGAGAGGTGAAATTCTGCAGTTTCTAAAAAGGTAGTATATGATAAATATATTACACAATGACACATACTTTGGAACATGATAATAAATATTCTTTCTTTAAACACAAGCCTGGAAAACTAGAATTTATAAGAAGAAAACATTGTTCCTTGTCAAAGTATCACTACCAGGTAGGTGCATTAAGCTACTGTACATTACTTTGTAGATAAAACATAAATAACTTTAGCATTTTGTGTATATTCACCAAAGTTAAACTGATAAGCCAAGGAAGTTACAGCATATTTAAATCTCTTTACAATCACTAAACACAGTGTTTAACAGGAATCTTTATGTAAAAGTGCATTATTTTAATATAATACACACAAAAGAACACTCTGGTTCTCTGCCTTCGGTTTCCCTGAAGGCAACTAACTAAAATAATATTCTGTTTAAAAGTGGGGGGAGAGGGTAATGACATGTTAGTTTACAACATACAGTCCAAGAAAAGTTCTCTGTCTATAAAGAATCTGCAGATGTGATAAAGAATCTGCAGATGTGAACATACAGGGGAAGAGGGGAATCTTCCCATAGCTGACAGGCAGCTTTCCAATCTAGCATCTCATTTAGCATTCCCAAATTCTGGATGTTAATCCAGCAGCACTGCCTGGATTAAGCATCTAAAGCACAGGCCAAACAATTGCTGACCTGTTCAGACCACAGCAGTTTCCGTCAAGGGCACTGCAGAAGGATTCAGTGTTGTTGTAAATTCCAGTTTTCAGAAAAATGAAAGAACAAATGCTGAAGAAGAGGGAATGTGATTGGGATTTATCCACAATCTACTTTGCTTTTCTTGAATTCAGTTTGTTGTGATGATTTAGGGTCTCCTTAGTCACCTAGAAAGAAGACAGCAAACGTGTCCATTCATAGCTGAAGTATTTTGCAAATGAACATATTATTTGAATTTTGTTAGTATGATGATTTAGCAATAGCATGACAGTCCATGTCAAAAAATGTTTCAATAGCTAAGTGTAAGCAAGTGAAAAAGAAATACAATCTCCTTAAATTTACTTTATGTGAGATGGGTTTGATTATCGACACTGAACAGATTTATTCTTCATTTACAATGAGCTGTAGCTTCTCTGCTGATAGCTCAATGCTGTAGTAGCACTATCCAAATATCTGGTTAGTGTAAATGAGTGGGCAAGTTAGATGTACTGCCTTTATATAAACGGTACAGTCTTATGTTATGTTGTGCCTTTCATTCGTTATTTAAATCAAGTAAGAAGAAATTGAAGAGCTACAGAAAGGACAGTAAAAATGTTCAAACATTTCTGGCAAAAACTTTGCAGACAGAGTGACATTACCACTATAAACCTGTTTTAGCTAAAAAGGAGATCATGAATCTGACAGATTTTATTGTATGCATGGAATGTAACAAGTAACAACCAAACCTCTACTGAATACTTTTGTTTACTTTGGCCAGCAGCAAAAGAATAACAGGACAGTGATAATTAAGCACAGATAGTTGATTAAAATGCATACTGTAAAATCAATCAATATGCAACATTCTAGTTTTGTTTTATAAGTGGGCAAAGAAGGTGAGTGAAACTCCAGTCTTCACACCATTCTGATTCACTGTATCTAATGCCCTAGTAAATAACTGGAGATTTTTGTGCCTGTGCACACCAATGAGTAAGGTCTTTAGGGTTCTGTCAGTCTCCCTTGTGCCTTTCTGTGGTTTAACCAAGTGCAACTTTGAAAAAAATATTCTGTAATTTATGTACTAAATTGATTCCAACTCTGAGCAATTATATCTCATACCTGAACAGACCATGCTGTAGGCACTGGTGGTTACTGTTCCATAACATCGCTGAAGGTCAAACTGCATGCAGACCGTTCGTCCTTATTCTGGGGACTGTCTGGCAGGACTTGCAGAGGTGGTGATATAAATCCCCGATACTGCTTGCTTGACTTGGTTAACTTCTTGAGTTCACTGGTAAAGGAAATGCCTTTTCTTTTGTCATCTCGTGCTGCCTGTTAAAAAAAAAAAAAAAAAAAAAAAAAAGCAAACAGATGACAGAAATAGTTTAGTAGACTGTTAGACAGAATTTAACATGAAAACTTACAACATTTTTCTAAGCTGGCATCCCTTTTGAAATTCAGTGAGGCTGTGCCAATGACATTGTTCTGATTGTTCTGACTAGATTAACTGAAAATTATGTATTGTCAAAGACTAAGAATATGTTGCAAATTTGGTATAAACTTGTATAAAACCTATGCTTATGACACATTTACTTTAAAGCAGCACTTTCCATGGACAGGTGGCATATGCTGGGAAGGAGACTGCAGTTCCTTCTCCCATTATCAGTCCTTCCATTTTCCAAAGCCCAAGGTAAAGCAACAGGACAACTTTTTCATTGGGCAGGAAAAAAGGGGACTGCATTTCAGTAGTTTTTAAGTTCTGTGCCTCCTGATAGTTCTGTCTGTCTTACTGTGGTGGGAAAGAAAAAAAAAAAGAATCATGTTGCTGGGTGTAACTGATACAGTTTAGCAAAGAATGAAGGAGGCAGGGAGAAAACAGGAATCTGCTTTTTTGCTGCAGTCTATTATTTGCTCTGCCGCCTCCACCCAGCCTCATTCCAGTCCTGTAAAGATATTAGGCATCTCCTGCAAGATTTTGTGTACCTCTTGATCTTAGACTTGAATAAATACTGATACAAATGTGAGGTGGGGGTACTGAGTCCCTCATACTAGCCAGTCATACAAGAGGTGGCAGTATGGCCCTGAAAGCATAGCAGCAAGAGGCTCTGCTTTGTTAAAAAAAAAAACAAACAAAAAAAACACAACATACTGTATTCAGACTTAAAACAATTGTTAAGAGTTTTTTAAAGCAGCACCTCTGAACTCTTTTTTTTTTTTTTTGCAGCCATATGTCTTGTAGTGATGCAATTAGTTTGAGGGAAAAAAACGAACGACACCCCAAAACCTGCAAACTGTAGAACTGACAGAAGTCTAGAAACAAGCCTCAAGAAACAAAGTAAGTTAAAATCTCATTTAACAAGTCAGTGTCTCCCTCCTGTGGAAGTATGTTCCCATTGAGCTGATCGTGTACCATCTATAAAACCTACAGAAAAGTATTTGATCTTTTACCTGAACCTGTTCTTTGAGTTTAAGGATAAATTTTCCTGCTCCCTTCCACTTGCTTTGGGCCTGAAACACACACTCCTGGTCAGAGAGAATTCTCTGAGATGGTTTAGATGTTGAGGACTTTTTGTTTGCTGGCTCTTTTGTCACCTCTTCCAAGAGGACATAATCGCTTGGATTTGGATTGCTCAGAATGCTGTAGGAATATTTTGCTTTACAAAGAGTCTATTTAAAAGCAGAAAGAAAAAGAAGGAAGAGAAAAAGGAGTCATTACTTCAGATGCAGTTTACTAGACAGATTCCTCAGCTAGTGACGAGAACAAAACCCACCTCTTGCATGAAATCAGCCCACACACTACAGAACCCGTTAATGAAAGTGGTGTGCTGTTTACCTGCTGTATGACATCCTGAGCTGTGCTAAAGCGGGGAGCTTTGATGACAGTGCGTGGTTGCTCTGGGGAGACATCGTGTACCTGAACAAAGAAACTGTCATCCTCAGAGGTGATGGTTACATCTTCCTTTGCTTCTTGAAAGACATTTCTCTCATTTAAATTCTAAAGGGAAAAAAAAAAAAGATCCAAATTCAACTACTTCAAAGTGTAATTAATAACTGGTGGTCATAAAAAGTTTTCATTACGTGAAAATCAATATTGCTCATAATTAATAGCTGTGTTTCTAAAATCGGTGTCTGAAGTACTTTTCATAGTAGGCAAGTAGTGCTTAGGACCACATTATGTAAAAATGAGTTCACTGCTCTCTGCAAAAGAGCTGAAAGGTACAGCTAATGCTTTCAGGTACTAGCATCACAGGCCAAAACCACAGCATAACTTTCATCCATGCTAACATAGATTTTAACCTGGAGTTCAAGCAGTGACACATTCGTGGGTGAATATACTTAAAAAGTGTCGCAGTCAACTGAATTAAGTAAGCTACTATTTGTACAAACAAATGCCTTCTTTGTAATTTTGGTTCTAAACATTAGCAACAAAGGAAAACAAAATACTGACTTGTGTAATAGAATAGTAATTTGTCAAAATGAAGATTTAACAAAAGGTCTGTTAAAACAAGCAGAGTTGAAAACACTTTATGTTATAAAATTTATCATATAATATAGCTGTGCATATTTTTTTTACTCTAAAAGATGCCTGAAGACTTTTCATGTAAATACTGTCTCTGTCATTTGTGTATGTAAACTCTGTGTATACAAACATATGTGCGCATAATTTGTCGTGTTCAGACTAAGCAATTACATGACATGCAGAGCTGGCCAAATTAAATACCTCTGAAAACTCGAACATTAAGTGTCCTAGTTTTTGTTTCTCACAAGCCTGGGCACTAGCATATATGTGAGCTGTGGATGTTTTGCCAATAGTTTAAACTAAAGTAATCTCTCCATCTTCCTACTTCAAATTAAAAGAAATCACCTATTTCATTATTTTAGACTATCATTGAAAAACTTAATATCTATTGAGGTTTTCAGAGTTCTTTAATAGTAAAATCCTTTCTAATTTTTCTGAATAAAAAAGTTGCTGACACCTAAACTGATTGGTAAGTGTAGTCTGGAATTCTGCTATCTACGATCCTACTATTATTCTTCTTTATATTCATTTCCTATAATGTCAAAATCTTTATTTACATGAAATTAGAATTATCATCAGTCAAAACAGTAAGCTCATGGTACTGCAGTTTTGAGTCAGTGATTAAACACCATATAGCTGACATTATAGAGCTTAGTGCTGCATAGGTACACTTACTTACTGACAGGTGCATGAAGTCCATTTGTGCTCCCTCAGCGTTACGTCTGTTTGTAAGTGGTGTACACAGTATTGACATTACTTGCCAAGTAGTGAAACAAACACCATGCGCTTTTGTTTCCTGGTCCTAACAGCTATTTTTAGCTACCCTTGTAAATAACAATTAATCTAAAACAGACTTACTTCCTCTCGGGTTTTAAAGATAATTCTTCCAACGTATCCTTCTTCTGGGAACCAGCTGTTCAAAAGCTGCACTAGCCCTTCTTCAGAACCAATTACTCTCTGGAATGGAGGTTTCCTGCATTCACTCTTTTCTTTAGATATAAAACTTTTCTCTTCCATCAGAAAATAGTCTGCCGCACATGATTCGGTGCCTTTTGTGGTAGCCAAGAGCTAAGACAGACCACAATAAACACACAGCAATTAGAATGCTAAATATAAACACTGTATAATCAGTACTTAAAAATGAATATGAATAAAGAAGCTTTAAGAATCAGTAACTATTCTGATAATGTAGGCAAGATTTTTGATGTGCTATTTATTATTCAGATATTTTACTCGGGGGTAATGTACTGTTCTCTTTAGACTAGCCAAGCAGTTCAACTCTTCCAGACAAGGCAGTACTATTTAAGCTTACTTCTGTTCTGTTTGGCTGGCCAGACAATTTATTCATAATCCCAGGACAGTACAGTCTTTTCCCACTGCTGGAATAACAATCCCTGTTGAGTTAACTGGTTTTCCTACTCATGAACTTAGCCCTCTAACTTTTACTCTGTATTCCTAAGATGCTCAAGTTCAAAGACATGCACAGAAAAGTTTGCCCTTGTTCTGACAGCCCACTGACTCTGTCAGTCAGAAAGATTATTTTTCTCAGATGCCCAAACATTAAAATACTAATAGGGAATATGTTCTGAGTTTACAAACCGATTGTCTGAAGCCAAGATTTGGAAAAAAAAATCACAGATATTCTGAGTTTGCAATGCAATTAATCCCATAGTAATAAATTTCTAAAGCAACTTACTGTGCTGAATGAACTACAAGAATTCTTCATGTGAGACATGCAGGGAGATGCATGTTGAGAATTGAATCAGCCTGGATTCTTGCAATCAGAATGTGCAATTCAGTGGGCAGCTTACCTGCTGCAGAAGCTGTGCAGCTGTGGTCCCCGCACTTATGTTAAAAACAGTGAAAGGCTCCGGGCCTGGAATTCCGTGAATTGTCACTTTGTAAGGCACAGAGGCTTTCCTTTCACCTGTGCTAAACAACTGTTCAGACAATATTCAACAGGTTACTGATTGTTTTTACACAGGCATATGATTTTTAGGTTGCATTAAGAGAAACTACACAAATTGTAAGGAATTTAACAGAGGAAAGCTATCTAGCTAATAAGTTGTTCTTACGCTACAGATCAATGAATTTAAAGGAAAAAAAGGGGGGGGCAACATAAAAACAAAACATGCCACCCTGCCTTGAAGAGAAAGAAGAAAAAGGAAGTTCTACAGTGAGAGTGCATAAACTGCCACTGAACAACAGGTACATCTCCATCACTCACTATCTGCATTGTAGGTGAACTCAGACTATTTGAATTCAAATATGAACGACTGGATGAAAACCTGTAAAGCTTTTTTCCCCAAAACCATTTCTGTTCTTCCTTTCTTCCCTACTGATGCACTGAGCTAGGTGTTTGGCACGTATTTGCAGGAAGATAACATCTGCTGCAGAACTGCTGCATGCCCAGTAGCTCAGGAGGTTTCACCTAACACTCCAGCAATAAGCAAAATGACAACATACGTGCTTAAAACCACTGCAACACAAGTGACCCAGATAAGCTAACAGTCAGGGCTTTCATAAAAAAAATAATAATAATAATAAAAATATATATATATGTAACATCTGTATTTGCATATATACACATGCATTTACATATATGTATATGCATATTTGTACATACAAACATACAGATGTGTACACACACGTATAATTATGTATTTATGCAAATACAGATTCCACCCTTTACTGTAACAGATTAGTCTCATTATGCCAAGGGAAACAGCAGTTGGTAGTTTCCATCTTTTTAAAATTTTTTTTAATTTGTCCAGAATGCATTGCTTATGATCCATTGCTTTATGATCATAAAGGAATCACCTCTGAACCTTACTGCTCAACCACACTCATTCTCCAGCACAGGTGTGGGTTTTGTGCTGTACCTAAATATACCGTAAGCCAGCCTTGGAAAAGCTTCACCCTCCCGCAGTTTCAGTGGGATAAACTTAGTTCCACTGAAGCCCAGAAGAACTAGGCATTGAGGAACTTCTGAAAAATGTGCAAGTTTAAGGGCTAATATCTTTGAACAGTCTGGTTCTAGAAGTCTCCAGACCACAGCAGTCATTAAGTTAAAAATACATGGCATTTACAAATAATAATAATAATAATTACCATGGATGCAGTATTTCCAGAGGGACTTTCTTCCATCCTCCGACTGTTTATGAATAAGCTAGAAATTTCTAATGCCTCGTTGTGCAGGTTATGGAGCTGGACATGTCTATAGCCTAAAAAGAAGAAAAAAAAGCAACACACTTTTGTAAGTACTTTGCCACATATTAGGACAGAAGTCTTGGAAATGGAAAACTCAGATTTGCTGTATTTAAAGCTAGAATTTGCTATATCTATAGCATTAAAAGCACTGAAAAAATACTGCATTACCACTCTTGTCTGCAAAACAGCATAACCCAAACGCTTTGAACTGCTGAGTGGTTCATATAGCTGTCTATCCTTATCTTGCTGTAATATTCAATATATTCATACATGAAATAGCTAAATATTAGAATACAAATGAAACAAGGACACAGTCTCACTGGGAAATTTGTTCACCTTTCTTTCACCTCTCCTACTGCCACTGCTGCCAGAAGTGCAATTTACCTCTGCCCTGATGATGACTAGATAAAGGAATTTCTTGGGCAAAAGGAAGTAGTGGAGTAGACACTCTGGTCTTCCCAAGGGAGCACCAAGTCTTGAGCTGAACACAGCCTCACCTCGGGATCAGCACAGGCCCCCCAACAGCATGCGGTCCATCTCAAATCTGGGACTTCTCACAAGTCACTGGATGTCCTCCAGCTCCTAGTGAGTATTAGACCAGCATCACACTGTGAGGGTGAAGTATGTTGCCTGATATTTGTTCCCTGAATCCTCCAGAAGGCGGCAGCCAGCTGATTAAAAATATCCTTCTGGCAGGATTCAGTCCTGGAATCTGCTGGACCATTTTGGTATAAGTTGTTACTGCAAAATGTGTTACCTCTTTTTAGAGCTTTCAGTGGAATGATTCTTTGAGCCGTTACAGCTGAGCTGTTGTTTTCAACAACTGCAAATCGAAGAAAGACCAAATCTTCAAAGTGAACCCGGAAAAGAAACTGTTCATTCCACATTGGGTTCAGAGTGTTGCGATGAATGGGCTTGGTCCGGAAATGGCAGCTATCCAGAGGCATCCCAAGCACATCGATTTCGATGCACGGACTCCCTGTGCTGTTGCTAGGGCACACATTCTGTCCAGACACGATCTAAAGCCAAGGAGTACACAGAGACACAAATTAGTGGAGTCATTCATTTCTGTCACAGTTCTGAGCTAAACTTTGCTTTTATCACATCACTAAGTAGTTTGCTACCACACTGATTTAATTACAGTGCTCCCCTACTTTCATAATTTCCAGGGCAGTAATTTCAGAAGCAGCACTGCTTAAACCTCACATGCCCTTGCTATGGTATCTTTCCTCTGAAAAAAATATACTATATATAATGAGTGTAACCGTTCAAGGCATTTGAAAGTTAATCCAGAAAGAATGTCCCAGTAACATAGTCAAAAGGGATCAAATTTTCTTCTCAGTTACTCTGGGGTAATGGCACTGACCTCTGGCTTGCTTTGATATACACAGCAGAAGACTCAGGTTTGCAATTACTGTGGCTGCAAGACTTTTGATTCTCACGAACCTCAATTTTCTGAAATATTTCCTGGAAGGGACTGGCTTCTTGGAATAGCACTTTTTGCCATAAATCCGTAAATGATATATGGGATTATATAACTTCTTTGAAAATATTTTTTTTTAATATTCAGTACAGCTTTTCGCAGTGACTTTTTGTGCCGCTTCTCAAGTGTTCACAAATGTGAAACATCCAGGCACAAGTGTACTTTTACACAGTTGCGTAGTCCCACAGAAAATGGATTTTGACAAACATTGTGAAGGAAATAGTGAAAGTAACTATGGATACAAAGCAGCCAATAAAACAAAATAAAGGTGACCATTTGCTGCTTCCCCCTTCAATTTCTTTTACATATATTGGCCTTCAGAAGTATACGCAACAATTAAAGGTTCAGTCTTTTCACACAGAAGCATGACTGTAACGTAAGACTGTAGTGAAACACTGCCTATTTCAATCTATTCAGCTGGATGAAATTCCCTTTTAATGTACTTACTGTTAAAGAATATATAGCTGGCTCCTTATTATCAAGATCTCTTTCTAACGGACAAAACTGCTGGTACATTGAGCAA